CAGAGAAAACAAAACAGCCCCCTACACCACAAAAGCAGCATTCTTACCTGCAAATTTACACTTTGTTTTTTGTCAGCTCTAAGCTAATATGAAGCTCAACTCGAAACTTAATTAGATTCAGTTGGAGAGGTAACAGCTTGTAACAGGTTTTTATTCTTACAGCGTTCTGAAGGCACTTCCAGTGAGTAACAGAACAGTGGACATAAGGAGAACATCCATAAACCTGGAATAATTCCACTGGATTTCAGCTCTTAAGTCTCTATGTAAGCTGGACAACCGTACAAGACTTCGTTAAAATTTCCAGCCATCTAAAGCAGCCATGTAATATTAAAACTGGAGCTGGACTTATCATTCAAAAGTAATTTAGCCAGAACATTAATGAACTACAGTTTCCTCTGCTGTACGTTGATCATCAGCAGTTTGTAATCTGCTTGATTTTGCTTCATCTACCAGTCCTACAAACAGTTCTAGCCCACAGCTGTTCACCAGAGCTTTTAAGATCTGAAATTTGAGCAGCGCAGACCCTATTGCACAGTTGTGATTAGAATCCAAGCCGCGAAGAATACCAGCCAGCTACGCTGCACGCCCTGGTTTGTTTAGGGCAGTGTGGTGGGTTGATCCTGGCTGGCAGCTAAGCCCCTACCCGCTTACTCACTCACACCCCCCTAGACAGGACGGGGACAAGAATCAGAGGGCAAAAGCAAGAAAAACCTGTGGGTCAAGAGAAAGACAGTTTAATAAGTGAAGGAAAAGGAAAAAAAAAAACACAAACCAAATAATGCAAAGGAATTTGCATCACTCACCACCTGCAGACTGATGCCCAGCCAGTCTCCAAGCAACACCTACTGTGGAAAAACTCCCCCCCAGTTTTATTGCTGAGCGTTACATTATATGCTATGGGTTATCCCTTTGGCCAGTTTGGGTCAGCTGTCCTGGCTGTGTCCCCTCCCAACTTCTTGCCCAACCCTAGCCTACTCACTGGGGCAGCAGAGTGAGAGATGGAGAAGGCCTTGACACTGTGCAAGCACAGTAAGAACTACAGCATTGTTGTGTGTTATCAACACTGTTTTGGTCACCAGTCTAAAACACAGCACCATACAGGCTGCTATGAAGAAAATTAACTCCATCTGAACCAGACCCTGTACAGGCAGATAATAAGGGACCATGGGGCTGCAGAGACTGCCAGTCCATTGCCAGTCCAGTACTGCTGGTATTCCAGGCAACAAAAACTAACACTTGGCTTTCTCTCTGTTCAAAACATTCAGTCTTCACTAAAAGTCTGGGAAACTGAGACAGGGAAATGAAGTAAGCTATCCCAAGTAGCTCCTAGAAGCAGCAAAATGGACTACCACTCAGGGCTGGTGCTTGTCTTGAGCCACAGTCCTCCAATCTCCATCCACCAGCCCCATTTTCACTGGGTGATCACAGATCTTTGAATTCAGTTTCTCTTTACTACTAACTTACTACAATGGTATGTTGTAAGCTGAGGTTCCAAGCATTGATGCTTTGTGTTATCTCATGGCACAGTGCTGGTACAGAGAGAAGATGAGAACAAAATACCTGGAAAACACATAAGCAGCAAGGTAGGGACTGCAAGACTTCTCCAGCCCAACTAAAACCAGGTAGATTTGTTCTCACTGGAACATGGATCTCCTTCAGGAGGTGCTGTTTTGGTTTTTTTTGCTTCGCCTTGGTCAGATCTTTAAAAGGCAGCAGCAGTTCTAGCCCTGAGTTTCCTGTTCTGAATCTAATTTTCCCAAGGCACAGGAAGTGACTTACCTGGAGATCTTAAAGGCTGTCACAAAGCTCAACAGCCAGGATTAGAACCATATTTCCTACTTTAGCTTCTGTCCTTTCAAGTCAGTGCAAAATGTTACCAAAAAGCATTAGTACCAAATGACACTAGGGCTTAAGAGGTATAGGCATAGAAGCCCATCTAGATACACCTATCAATGTCACATATATCTGTTCGCGGCATGACAATAAATGTCTAGGCAAGTAACAAACACAAAGCAAAAAAGGTTCATCTGTCCCTAGTGTATTTTAATATGTAAAATAAACCTAGAGGTGCGAGTTGGATTTCAGCAGCAGTTAACCCTTTCCCTGACATGATGCAAGGTCTCCTTGCAGGGATACTAAGCAGATTTGCTAAATGTCATATTGGGGCTAACTCTGGCAACTAACAGTTCATTGCCTGCTTATATAAAGCTTCCCAGGAGTCAGGCTGCTACTCTCAGACTTCTCCAGAAACACTGCTGTTCCATAGGGCTAATCTCATTTCTTGGACCATGAACCCAGCTGCAGTCTAAGGGTTATGGCCAAAGGATGCATGAGACACAGCCACCAGTTTGCCAAGTGGTTGCTGCTCCCCAGGTCTGTTAGGTTCTCTGTGGCTTTTGGGCCTGCAAGAACCTTAGCTGAATGATGCTACCCACTTGTAGGGGACACTATGCCTGATGTCACTTTCCCCACTGCCTGCCTTCCACTGCCTCCAAGCAAGTTCACAGAGATCACCTTAGCTCATGTTCTGGAATAGGAGGGGTTTGGTATAGCTTTTGGATTTCACCAAATGCAAGACACATGAAAAGCTGGTCAAATAACTTCTTCCTAGAACACGCCCCTGCAGGTCCCATGGGTCTGCATGCTCCAGCACACACATGTGTAGTGAGGTAGCTATTCTGCTCGAGCAAAGAAGAGCATTATCAGTTCAGAGAGCTTTGGCTCTCAGCAGAACAGATATTTTTGAGTTAGGTGGAACATAACAAAGCTAGATAGGTCTGAAGTCCTGGTCAGAAGTGCACCTGCCGGGCACCGATGCCAAGTTATTCATCTCTTTAACTTTTCAGAATTGAAGTGCCAGCAGCCAGACAGTCCTGGGCTGCAGGCATAGTGCAGGTATGAACATGTTAAGCTGCAAGCTCTTGGGAGCTGCATTCCCTTGTGAGCCCTAGACAGGGAATTACTACCACTTCCCTGTCATCACCGGTGGGAAAAGTAGGTGTGATATTTCCCGGTTCAATTAAACAGGAGCCCAAGGTCACTACCCCTCTTTGTGAAATGGCTCCATTTCAATTTAATACTTCCCGTTGTTTCCTGCGCAAAGTGTTGACATGGGAACAATGCCATCTCCCGCCACGAAATGACAGCTTACTCCTGCTCTTTCATAACAGAAGCTCTTGAGGTTTGCATCAAGTGAGCTTGATTAGGTTAGTAATTACTGCAGCACATGGAAAGCATTTATACCCTGTGACCTTTTGTAAATAAAGAGTTATACTGGTTCTGCCTCTAAAGCCAGGAAGATTTACACATACAGCTTTTTCCCAGAACTGAGGCAGGAGAAACTGAGGCAGAAAAATCCTGAAAGCCAGCAATTTATTCAAGAAGGGATGCTCAGAGCCCTTGAAGGCTCTAAGCTTGTGGTATTGTACCTATAGTTTGCAGCACAGGGAACAAAAGATAGATTTTTCATTAAACCCTAGCATTTTTAGACACACAGACTGTATTCTTTTTCAAGTCATGCTGACGGTCCTGCAAAAGTTCTCATCAAGAGCTGGTACTGCACCAGAACTGTGTGTGCAGCTCTTCGTGATTCACTGCCTGCTACCTGTTGCTGTGGTAGGATCTGCTCTGCAGAACAGGCTGGACCTTCCAGTCTTGTCCTATTCCTAAGACCCCTCCTTAGGCCTTCTGTCCTATTCTCCTTCGGCAGTCACCTTACTCCCACGTAGCAATAGCACTTGACATGACCTCTGGCTAATCACTTGTCTCCAAAACCCGAAGAAATAATTTCTGCTAAGTCTGCCTATGCTAAAAGACTTTGGGAGAGAGGTACTTTGTAACCTAGGGTTCCCTGCTCACTGGCGTGACTGGGGGAATCCCAAACCTTTTCTTCAGTACTTCACATCTTGGGCTACAAGATACCTGGGAAGCAAAACCAGGTAATACCTCTTTCTCAGAGTGGTCTCTAGTTTTAAGTACCTATTCCATTCCTTCAGTAGCAGCACTTCATGGGAGTCCCCTCTTCTGTAGTTGGGAAAACAGGAAACACAAATATGATGCAATTACCTTCAATTACCAAAAATATTACTTTTATGGAAGAAAAGTGAAAATTTGGTTATTCCGGATCTGAAGCAGTGAGAGACACACAGTGAGATTATAGGGGAGTTTTCAGTGACCGAGGCTCACCCGTGGCCTTCAGAGAGGAGAGATAATCATGTTACTGCCTTTCCTCCCAGCTTCACAGCAGTTTATATCCTTTAATCTCATACACTACATCCTCTGTTTGCTTGGGCTTTGGAGATTCAACAACCCCCACGTGCAGTTAGTACAGAGCAGGACTCCCCAGTTACTTGCTGGTTTGATGCTGGCCACAGCCATAAATGACTGCCCTGCCTCTGTACACACAACGTGTACGTGGATCAGAGATAAAATCAAACGTGCAACGTGGCTCCACCCATGCTGTCTGCAGAAGACAAATTCATCCACAGCAATGAAAAGTGCAAAGGCAATTCAGTGTTTTCCACCTGATCCCAGGCGATGTTTCTTAGCATCCCTCAGCACATCCCTCCTTGCGCACCAGCCTCACCCCCCAAAAGCTATTGAGATGCTTGTTTTGCTGAGTCCAAGTCTCCTTTTCATCTCCAAGGCTCTTCTACCTGTGTCTCCAGACAGATTAATAAATATTGTGCACACTGAACTTCTCTAGGGCCCATCACAGGAGGCCCGGTATCCCTCTAAAACCTTTCAAGTTTGTTTTTTTGCCATCCCTTCTCTTTGGATGTATGACCGCCAACAGGCCAATAACAGCTGTAGGCCTTGCAGACAACATCCATTGTTCAACCTGGAGTGCCATGTCCTTATTTTTATTTGAATGATTCTTCTCCTGTCCCATTACACACAAGGACCCCCAACGGTTTGGCATTTGAGCTCCACCTGGTGCATCTTGGCTGTGTGAAGCAATGTCTCAGTGCCTGTTTCCACCATGTAAGTCCTCAAGCAGGTCAAGACATCACCATGTCCCAGCGCTGACTCATGGCTGTGCTCTCGCAAGGGTTGATGACAAGCTCTTTGGTGCTCTCATTCGTGTCCCCAATCGTCTCAGTGTCCAAACAGAAGCGTGAAGCTATGTGTTCAATGTGTGACCCAACTTTACCCCATCGCTGCAGAGAAATACACACATGAGAGGAGAAACAGGGGTGAACAAGCTTCCTCCTCATTATGCTTTTACTGCACTGTTCCAGCACCCAGAGGACAGTAATCACTAAGCCTTTGTGGCCTGATGCTGGGAAGTACAGGGTCCCCCAGCCCCCACCCAGCAGAGCACACGCTGAGCATTTCTCTCATCGGAAGCACACTCATTTAAGCTCAGCCTCTGCCTGGCTTCAGTAAGATAATATATTACTAACAGCTTTTTCCCCAGGTCACTGGTTCAAATGCCAGCTCGATGATTAACTGCAGAGAAACGTTAGCATCTGCTGGCTGACTGGCAGCCCGTGTGAAGTAGATTGCCAGTTTTGGTTTGACTTTTGCAGATAAGTATCCAGATCACCACCCGCACTAATAGACATCCCTATCAACACACTCATTTAAGAGGCAAAGGTCTGAACAGGCTGGAGTCTGTACTCCCAGATAGACTGTGCTACCCAGATGAAGTCAGATCACGCGGGCGATTTGATGTGCAGTAATACTATGCTGAAAGAAAGGGAATTTCAAAGAAAATGGGGGATCAATGAAAGGGTTCACCTGCTTGTTGTCACCTTCTTTGCAAGGGGACAGCAGCACTTGGGACCCAGGGAAGAGGGTGTACACAGACAAGCACAGCTGCTGCTGGCGGACTTGGTGGTTGTATGTGTATGTCCATTCCTGCAAAGAGGAAGAAAAAGAAAGCTGGTGAGAGATCAGGGTTGAATCTTGTTATTCTTGTACACTTTGGCTTGAATCTGACACCATCGGAAACCAAGCACAAACCTTAATGACTTCAAGAGGCATCAGAACAGTTCACTAGAATATTTCAAGGCTCCCCAAAACTGCAGCTGTCATTGGGGAACTGTAGGTACCAAAGAAAATGTCTACAAAAGCTGCTGGAAGAAAATGGTTCACAAGGCAAAGGACTTCATAGCCAGAACTGGGCTCTGGTTAGGGAACACGGGGATGGAGAAATGGCAGAAGAGGCAGAAATGTGCAACCGCACAATGTGCAATCCTCTTTTTATGAGGAAGAGCAGCAGAAATGCTTTGCAGCTAGCAGCGGGAGAGAGGAGGCAATATACAGAAAATGTTTCCAATTTCCCGGATTCTGTTCCCAAATATCACAAAAATCAGGGGTAAAGCTCGCTTTTCTATCAAAGGAGTGGGACTGAACTCCAAATGTTTGCTCTACTGATTTGCTATGACCACTGCTATTCCTGCTTCCCTGGGCTCTCCCGGAGTTTTTTTCTTGTGCTGCTTTTGATGCTTACCAGTTTATTATCAGCTCCTCAGCCCAAGAACTAACCTTTGGGGGAGCAGAGACTCTTTGTCCTGTGTAAAGCTCTCTGGGATTATTATCTTTTCCACCCATGGATGTTTTTGTTGGGAGAAAAAGACAAGAGGCTGATAGTTTGACCAGGATTTCCAAAGGTACTGGACAAAGCATCGTAGCATTTCACAAAGGTTTATTCCAACCTTCATTGAATGCTTTCTGTCATTCACCTGTGCTCATATTACCCAAGAGCACCTCCTGAGGGGCTAAGACTGTCCAGGCAGGGACATCTCCCTGCTATTTGCATGTGGACACAAGCAGACAACAGCTGCTTTGGCTTATGAAAAACCACAAAACATACTTTTATATAACCCCGGAGAGCGACTTCTGGAACAAGTTTTTTTGCTTATAACTTTGTGAGAGTATTAAAATTTGGGCTTGAAGGGGTTTCTGAGGGCCTCTAGCCAGGGTGCAAAGCAGGATCATCTCCTGCTGTGTAAAGAGCTCTGAGACAGGAGTCAGGCGAGCAGCAGCAGGAGCACACGGAAAGCAGGCTGCTGAGCTGTGGCAGGGCAGGTGAGCAGGACTGGGGGACAAACAGCAGGCTGGCTTCACTAGCAGGGGGCAATAACCACACTGGAGACAGCAAGGCCAGGGAACAAGACGGTTTCCGCAATAGGCCCCAAGAGCCAAGGCAAAGGCTTTGGCAGGGTACAGGCTATGAGAAAAAGCTGCTGTGAAAGCAAAGGTGCAGAGAGAAAGCAAAACAGCTGAGAGCTCACATACGGAGTCAGAGCTCCAGGAGGAGTGAAGTGAGCAGAGGTCTTGGCAATAGAGTGGAAGGCAGCGCTCAAACACGTGGCAGTTTAGGCTGGGTGTGGAAAAATGAGGGGTAAGAGCTGCTCCTGGGAGACTGCAACCGCTTCCGAGTGCTGGAGGAGGAAGTGAAGAATGGCTGCTCTGATCTCAGTGCTGGGATGCCTGCAGCTCCCCCTGACTTTGAATGGTGGAGGCTTTGGGTTGTATTAGCATGAATTATTAGAGCAGGGAAACACTTCCACCCCTTTGGTATTTGTCACCGTCAGCAGCTTTAACTCCTCTCCCCAGCTTCAAAACAGACAGCTACAGGCATTTAAATCCTGGGAATATAAATCCCACTTCATTCGAGTTCTTAGCCGCCTGGAAGGGAAAACACGCTTTTGCACAGCAAACCCAGATCCACAAGGACTTCACACTGTGATCCTCACACCCCACGTTTCTCAGCCTACTACTCCCCACCAGCTAATGGAAATCAAACCTGGCTTTCTGAACAGCCTGCCCACAGGCTTTTCAGCGAGAGCTGCCCAGGATTTCAGCACGTAACAAGCACTAATTTTCAAAGCCGTAGTCTGCACTCAAAGGGCCTTCTGGCAACTACTTCTTTGTCAGATGGAGCAGAGTTTACCTGATCCTACATTGAACACGTTCCAGACATCCCAACCATGCACGCTGTCAGCTGCTGTGTAAACTACCAGCCTGGGAAATCAGGTGCCAAATTAGTCCTGCATCTGTGAAGAACCAAGCCCTACGGGGCAAGCTCCAACACCTGTTCTCCGTGCCAGCGCTGCTTTGAAAACCTGCTTTACATTTTTAACCAATTGTTTGTCATTTTAGTTCAGGACAAGGCCTGAGCTACACCCATGAGGCTCCTCAGCAGCAGCAAGCTAATCACAGAATCACAGAATGGTAGGGGTTGGAAAGGACCTCTGGGGATCATCTAGTCCAACCCCCCCTGCCAAAGGAGGGTCACCTAGAGCAGGCTGCACAGGACTTCGTCCAGGCGGGTTTTGAATAGCTCCAGAGGAGGAGACTCCTGTAACTCTGGTGTATGTTGGATCCCCCAACTAACTCAGGGAGTGGGACTTGTGACCTCTTAACCTCCTTACTTCACTGAGGCACTTCATGGAGGACTGCTGCTCCCAGAGGTTCTCCATGCTTTTTCCCCCAGCCAGGCTCCATTCCAGCCTTCCTGATATTCACATCCTCTCAAGGTAGGACCCTCCTCTCACTCTGCAAGTGCCATGGAATAGACATGGTGGTGTGGTCATCATCTCTCCTAAGCTGTTCTTCATCATAAGAAGGGAGGCCTACAGTGTTAGATATACGCGTCAGTTCGAGAGCTGACATTGGATCCTCCCCTCTTGCCCTCAAGCTGTCCTGCTACTGTCTTTATCTAAACTGACAGATTTTCACGCAGCTCTTCTATTTTGGCAGAATAGATTTTTATGGAAGCCAGTCTCGTTGAAAATGTTTTATCCAGTTCTAATCATGTCTTGATTCGTTTCAGCCCTAGATGAAAGCCAGAGAAAGTGATGCAGATAATGAAGAAATTCGTAGCCGGGGAGGGGGGGAGGCAGAGAGGCAAGTCACTTGAACACCACAGAATCCACAAAAAGCTTTAAGTTCAAATACAGGCAAATGGCCATGCAAATTTTTATCTTACCCCACCTCTTTCATTATTCCTGTCAGTTGGGATGAAAATTCCTGCCTTTTTTCCCCATGAGAAACTACTTTATCTTCTAAACCCTGGCACACTGAGCACTCACATGGTGAGCATAACAGTAACAAGAGCAGAGCTTCGCAGTCCGGCAGTTGTGGTGAACAGGGCAGCCCAGGGTACACCTACAAAGGCAGACCTTTGAGGAGCTAACATAGTTTCAGGGCTGCAGACTGCCCTGCAGTGATGCCAACGGGATTGAGAGCTCACCCCTGGTACCAAGGAAAAACAGACACGTGGTGAAACTGAGGTCAAGATTTCCTGCCTTCTCAAAGACAAAGCAGCTCCTGATGAAGTGGTGACAGACCAAGGTGGAAGACGGTGGACTGGGAGAGCAGAGCTACCAGCTGTACACCACAGCCAGCAATCCCCCTCCTCCAAAGCCTCAGGTGACACTAGCCCCCATATGAAGCTTACAACTATTTTTCAAGGCTTAGCATCATTCAAGCAGGCACCTGTCACTGCTACTCCGCATCATTTTGAATTGAGGAAATTATTTTAAAATGTGACCTTTGGTTTGGTATAGCCTGGCTGGCAGAAGGAGAAAGGAACACCTCAGCCTAGCAAGGAGCAGCCCCTTGGGAGCCCAGTGTTATGTGACAGAGCTGTACATGGTCTGCTGCCCAGCAAGAGGTCAGCCATACCCTCAAGCCAGGGTAGCAGCTAGAGCAAAATGTTTCTGGAGAAGCCGGGAACAACCTCAGCCCTCAATTAATCTCTTTTTAAAATCACAGGGAAGGTTATCCCAAGGCATGCAACTGCATGGGTCACCTAAGGATACCAAAGCGCTTCACCCATCAAAAGGCCTTAAGATGCAGCTAGCTCTTATGCACGTCTTGGGAGAGGGAAAGCAAAATGCAAAAGGTGCCCACGGTGGAGGTGACAATGCTTCCAGCCAGTCCCTCTGCTCTGCCACCTCAGCCTGGCTCCCTCAGCTCCAGCTGGCCTACAGCTGGGGCAGGACATGCCCATGGAGAAGAATAAAGACTTTTGAGGGGAGAAAGGTCAGAAGAGAATTTTTATCGTTAAGATGTCTCAAAATGGACCCTGTCAGGTTACTTTGGATACGTGCTAAATGTTCTCCAAAGAAAGTGCAGATCTAGTCAGCCCACAGAGGTCCTCAAGCCAACTGGGGTAAGCTTCAATGCCACATCAGACAGATTATCACATTGCATTTCCTTCACAATAAGAGTCAAGCATATGCCACCCAAATGCAATGCCAGCCACTCAGCTTCAAGGCCCAGATATTTTGGGGTGCAGGCCTGGGAAACAGATGCTTCAACCTTCCCACTGTTTCCTCGCTTGTCTAGGAGATGACTAACTTTACATTCATCTTGCGGCTACTGCTTACATGTGTGTGAGTATCCAGGCCAAAGTGTCTTCTGCTTTTTTATCTGAAGTATGTCAGGTTTTGTGGAACTGGTAATGATTTAAATAAATCCCAGACTTAGATGTCTATTCCAAAGATGTATTGACTAATAGCAACTGACACTTAGTTTGAAAAAAACCCAACTACTCACACCTTCATCAGATAGACCAGGACAAAATTACGATCAATTATTTTCCCTCAGATGCATTTCTCTTTTGAAAAGCTCAATCAACCAGTTCATTTAGCAAATGAGATGCAACAAGAGTAGAGTACCAAGAGATACAACAAGAGTAGCATACCAAGACTCCGGCAGGCAAGAGAGCAGGTAGCACCTGTTGTACTCTGGGGATGGGCAGCACTGCACAAAGATTTCTGCCAGTCACTAACTCAAGAGCAAGTCCCTCCGAGAGCCACCCCAGGAGCCAGAGCCTGTCATGACTGCTACCAGACCTTTTGGAGAGGGAAGGGGCAAGTAGATCCCAGGGATGAGAAGACAGAGCTCTCCCACATAAAGATGAGGGGTGTACTTGTGCTCCAGTGCCCCTTTTAGCAATTCAGGACTAACAGCAGACACCACCAGGGAGGGTTTGTGAGATCTTCTAGTGGTGTAAAGCCTGTCTGATTTCACTGCAGTCTGTGGATGTGGCCAGAGGGCTTACAACACCCTTCCTCTGCACTACAGATACAAAAAAACTAAAATAAAGAGCAATTGATTGCCATCTGACAGCTCCTGTTCTTCTCTCCTCAAACCATGGTGATGTATGACAGCTCAGATCTTCCCGTACCCGGTCCCAGGACTTCATGCATGTAATGTTGGTAAAGGGCTTGGGGAGCCGACTAGGGAGACAGCTACAGCATGGCAATCAAGCAAACAAATTAATGCTACTAACACTGATAATAAAGGATCTGGATGGCTAGGATATTTCCGTAGTACTTACTGAGTGCCAGGAAAGCACAGCTTTGATTTAGCTAAGCCTATTTTTCAAATAATGAAGCCTAGGGTAAACAAGATGCGACTTCAGTATGTTAAAAGTGAAGATTATTGCTCTATTATGGTACACCAAATACAAAAATAAGCAGCATTCAGGACTGCTGTATAATCTATCCTACACAACCCGATGGCTATAAACCCCAGGTCATCCATAACTTCGGGGGTCCTGTAACAATTGTCTAATTAAAATACATGTTTCTATTCACAGCGAAAATTTAAATATCCTGCTTTCATCTGAAATGTTCTCCATGGGTACAAGTAACAGAGAACTATCCTAGAAAGACAGACAAAGATAAAAGGAAAAGGTTTTTCTCTGTTCCTGTCTGTATGTTGAGTGTAGCTATTCAGCAATCTGTTTGTAGTGCATTTTTCTATTGCCCTGCAGAGTTAGTCCTAGATGTGCACAAGAAATGGAGTTGCCATCCAGTGGGAAGTGTTGGCCTATTGCAAACTGCTGCAGAATCAGAATGGGAAGATGAAAAGTTTGAAGTATGAAAAATTCCAAAAAATTACTGCACAGAAATGTCAAAACAAAACGTGTTTGATGGGAATGAAACAATCCAACTTGTTGGCATGACATTTCTCATTTTAACCTATCACATCAAATTGGTATTTCAGAAAGACCAGTGCCATTTCATTTTGAAATGCTAGCTTGCAGCAGCATTTTCCATTCTGATTTTCCCAGACTTTTTAAAAAACTTCCAATTCATTGAAAGCTGCAATTGTCACTAAAACATTTTTTTCCTTCAGCAGAGTTGACCCTGCAAAACATGATGGCCTGTTCTCATCAGCTCGCTTCTCTTGCTGTTTGTGTAAAAAGTCCATGCAGCAGTGGAAGAAAGAAAAAGAAATCTAAAACCTGGAAACCAGTTAAACTGTAAGAACTGTAGCTATGTGGTACTTGCAGTTATATTCACTATATTTTCTGAACTGACTAAAATTCAAGTAGTCATTGTTGACTTTACTAGGCTATGAAGCAGATATTATTTTCCTGACTAAAGGCAGGCATGCAACTGCATGCAAAAGAGATGCACATAACGACATGCTTCATTTGCACATACAAATTAGGGACATTTTCAGCAGCATCTCCAGGCTGGGCCTTTTATATGCGTAGCTACCTGGTTTGAATGTGTAACCATGAGGGTTAAGGATGTACAGTCAAGTGGAAGTAAGCACACTGTTGCCTATTAAATTATTTCATGGCACCCTGAAGAAGTGAGTGATTGTTATCCTCCCTGTTTTATAGATGGGAACAGTGAGAGAACTTACTGACATGCCCAAAATCACAAAGGGAGCCTGAAGCAAAGGCAGGTTTTGAAGCCGTGTCTTCAGGGTCTTGATCCAGCAACTCCACTGCAAGGCACATGTGCCTGCTCTTGGCTCTAACATTTCCTAGAATATGCTTTTGAGAACACTGATACATGCAGCTTTTTCTCATCTCAGTGAGACTGAAAAAAAATGAGATCGAAAAAACAAGAGATCATCCTCATTAAATTCTCACTAGTTTAATGGGCAATCTAATATTGAGAGAATGCAGACTATGAAGGTATAAATATCATTGCGATTCAGTGCATTTTGGAAGAAATAAGGCTGAAAGATAAGAGGAAATTATAGTTCTCTTTGTCTTTCTCTGATCTCTGCAGATGAACGGCACGTGGCGTTCCTGAGCAGCAGTAAGTGCTCAGCGCAGGCTAGCACAGAGATAAGCGATCCACCCCGTACTGTGGCTCCTGCACCAGTCCCTGCTGCTGCCCAGGGCCTCCACTGAGGTAAGAAGGACTTACCAGGCTTTAACTACATGCTACCTTAGGAAAGGGGTTGGCAGAACAGGTAATCCTCCAACTGACCTTTGCAAACTTAGAAAATCACCTTGAAGCTGCCCCAGGGCCTATTCTCTAGCCAGGATCACAGGGATAGGCAACACATCTTACCTGTGCCGATGCTGCCGTGCCTTTGCTGCTGATGCAAGGATTTAAGCTCAGGACAGGGAACTCTTGGGCTTCAGACTTGTGCGACTCCAGGCAGCTCTGCCTTTGCCTGATCATCCCAGTCTGATAGAGCGATTCCTCGGGAATCCTGCAGGAACAGCATGAAAACAACATCCCTGCTCCCCCGGGCACATGGAGTACTCAAAGGGAAGTTCAGTGGGGTAAGGAGGGTGCGATTGCACCACTTCGCCTTCAGAAAATGAGAGCGGCAAGTTCTGTTACGATACTGAACCACTGACAGCAGCACACGGACAGGGACACTGCAGAAGCAGCACTCAGAGATGGATGGATGGCCTTTGTAAGAGGAAAAACTAAATAACACTGCACAAGGCAGACACAGGAGCAAGGAATAGACTGTGAGAAGGCTGAAGGTCAGCCTTCAGCTTACAGGAGTGGGGAACTTTATAATAAACTGCCACAGAGCCCTGGCATTCCCTGTGAATGCTGCTGTGCAATGCCACACATGGCAAAAAAGCAAGAAAACAGCTATAAATCATTTTCACACTGTGATTCTGCTCTCAGCCTTTGCAACAGCAGCTCCCTGGAGGTATCTCCAAAACTTTTGCACCCTTTCTGAGCGTGGCTTCTGACAGTGACTGAGGGACTGGATGCAATGGTTTCTGGAGTAATTTTGGTGACTAAAAGGGATTTGCACAAAAGCAGCTGTGGAAGTGCATATTAAGCCAAGCATTAGGCTAGGAGTAAGCCAGAGCCACCTGAATACAGGTCACAAACTCCTAGAGTGGATGGTTTCACAACAGAGAGGTCTTGAGTATCACAGAACAGCACCACAAATTTAAACGGCTTGAATGTGAAAGGACTGGAAACGAGGTGCTTTTCCATAATCAAGAATCATTAAGTACTGAAACAACCAAGGCTATGGTGCATCTTCCACCTTGGGAAGACTGGCTATTTCTCTATACCACCTGTCCCGCAGCGAGGGCAGGAGGATAGCTGAGGAAGCCCCAGATGCTAGGAGAAATAACTGGTGCTTTGCCCCACACCAGCGCCACAGAAAAGAGCCATGGAGTCTGTAAGACTGCTTAGAGGAAGCAGGATCACAAATGAACCATGCCACACTGAGAGCAAGCTGTGTTTAAAGCCAGCATAAAATTCACTATGTCATTCTACGAAGCCCAAGGGAGGGGGTGCCTGTGTCTCTGGGGCAGGAGGGAGGTGTGGGGACTGGCGGAACAGAGGAAAGCTCTGTGGGGCAGGAGGGATGGGGCAGCCACTGGCCTGCTAGAGACAGGTGGAGATCACATATCCGTACCGAAGTTCAGGATAAACATTTTCCAGGTACCACTTGAAGCTGCGGCATTTCAACCTCTTCCGCAGCTCCACTCTGCTCTGGATGCTGCGGAAAGAAAATGTTGTAGAGATACAATGGAAATCATGAAGGTAAGACCCAATGCACTGAAAAGGGAGGCTGGGAGAAACCAAACAGATATGCACAGACAGCAAACACAAGAGCATCAACAGCTCTATTTTCTACTATCTTCTGCATGAGCTTGATCAGTCACTTTGACCTCTCCCTCTTTGGCCGTCTCACTTGGTAAAACGGCATGATGACATGATGACACATTGCCACTTTAACAAGGAGTCTGGAGTTTGATGGATGAAAGGTTCATGGAAAAGTACAGTCATTTAAAAATAATTAGTAGAAAAATGTATGCTATCTACTACATGCAATAAGCATTAGTTTAATATATTCATGTACTAGGAAATTAATATATGCTATTACAAGTTACTCTTAGTTTACAGGACTACACAAGGCCTTGATTCACAAGAGCACCTAAACACACACTGAAGTCAGCAGAAGTTACTCACACAGAGAAATATTTCTTTCTTTCAGGGCAAAATTTCTGCTGAGGGATGTATAGTGACTTTTTCCAAACTTTAGCATCTCTCTGGGCCAGCCTCTACCTGTGGAGCTGTTAAGAGCTGACATTTAAATAGCAGTAGGAACCCTCCAGTACCTTCCCTTAGCATAGTTCACTTTCTCTACACCCTCGTGTATTTAGCAGGACAGAGCTGTTACTTCATTCTATGCTGACTGATGGGGTGAGGGTATGAATTTAGTGCGAATGGATTAGTCACCAGGATTTCAATTTATTTATCTTAGAAATTTAAGAGTAGCCAGAAGAAATTAGGAGTTGGATTTGGAACCCATTGTGGCCCAAAGGAAACTTTCTAAAGAAAAGAAGAACACAAGAAAATGAACACAAATACGTACTGTCCTCCTGACAAGGAGGCATTTCTGACTGTTCACAGAATGAATGGCAAACTCCCTGCATACAAAGCACTTGCTCCTCTCCAGCAAAGCCTTAGTGGGCCCGAAACCTGATGATTTTCCTGCCCCTCACCTGCCAGCAAGACCTCTGGACTCTCCCCCCCGCCCCCCCCACTCTGGGACCATTCGTACTTGTAGCTAATGCCAAGGGCAGGCCATAGGCAGAGGGGGTTTTCCCCCACTTCGATTCGGTTCACTCACTGGGATAAACTAGCACAGCATATAAACTAGCTGTTTCTACATTTCATTGCTGTGCTCATAGCATCTGCCTACCATTAGCATTTAATTGAGCGTTACTACAGAAACAACGCAGGCGGGTTTCCGCAGCAGGGCCACGTCACTGTGAACACCCACTGCAGCAGGCAGGGCACAGGCAGGGTACAGGCAGCAGAGAAAAACACTTACTTTCCATAAGGCCTCCCTTGGGCTGCGGGACGAGCTGCGTAGTAGTACCGCTTGAATTCGTCCATCCACACCTCCGCAGTGCGCTTGGTGTTTCTGAAGGAGGCAACAAAAGACAGGTGAAACCAAGGAAACCTCCAAGGTGACATTTTCTAAAATGCACTGACTGATCCATCTTACTCTCTTCCCATCCTCAACTTGGTCTTTGGCTTCACACAAACTACCTTTGAGCTAGCACACCCCTCCCTACCAGAGAAGGTACTCCTCCTCCTCATTACTCCAGAGACCAAACACAACAGGCCAAAGCTTGGCTGAAGAATTCACCATTTCAAATTCAGCTGGATGCTTCGTATCCACCAGACTCAGAACTGAATCTTCTCTTAAGCATCATCTCCCAGGCAGGTGTGCCTGGGGTTTTGTTTAGCAGCTGAGACAGAGCTCTGAAAAGTGGTGCAAAATTTGCCAAAGATCGAAGGCAAATATTTCCTTTGTGTCAATCCTGTATGGACTCTCCAGCTTTGCACCACTGGATTTCACTGGGGCAAATCTCAGCCCTCCAAACTTAAGAGAAACCACCCTGGCCACAGTGCTGAAGCATAAATGTCAGTCTTCCACATCAGCCAGGTGTCTGCAGAAGGTTTATGAACCTCACGAAACCTTCTGTTGACTTCAGATGGCTCTGACTCTCCTTGCAAATTGCTCCACGCCTGTCCGCACATCCCTGCCCAGGTCAGGGCAAAGTCCTCCAAGCTCCTGCTCCAGGGCAAGCCAGTGCCCCCAAGATATTGCTGTCACTCCACTGGGCTGTGGGTGCCACAGGACAGGCTCCGATCCAGCCAAGTCCCACATCGCTGGAACAGGAGAGTCTGTACATGAATCCAGCACAACACTGGAGCCTGAGCTGTCTCTCGCACTGAAGATGCAGTGTGGAAAAAAATCAGTATCTGGTAGAAAGGTGGAGGTATTTTTTACTAACATCTCTGTAAACAGAGGTACCACATTGCATCATGTTGCCAGAAGCTGTTTCTCCTGTCAGTCTATATACTAAAACATTAAGTTTAAGGCTGATAGGTACCATAATGTTAATAAAATCCCATCTTCTAATGCCTACAGATATGTTTCTGCAGACTGCTTTTCAGTCCCCTTGCTGATTCATGTTGTTTATTCCTCTCTCTCTCTGGCCACTGCAATAGCCCAAGTGCTCTTGCTCAAGAGATGCCTACACCACAGTGTCTACATCTGTGCCTAACCTTCCCCAAAGTGCAGGATTTTTTTTGCCTGGCTTCCTGATCTCATTTGGGTTTCTAGAAAATATGGGGATAAATGCTGAGGCTCACACCTGGATGTTGATTCAGACCTGCTCAAAGTCCCTGTGCCCCTGTTCTCGAGGTGCAGCCAGAAGAGCCATACCCGTTCAAGCTCCCCTTGCTTCTCCTGCAGACGCTGCCTTTTCACTCAGGTTTGCAGCGGCTCTGGCAGCAGAGATTTTGCCACATCCCGGCCTCTTCTGTAGGAGTCTTAATTCACTACTAAAAGCAAGGGCCCTCCTTGTGACTCTCAAACTCCCCTCACCGCTGTCTTTTTGAAGCAAGGTGACAAGGTCCCCTTTCTGCCCCCCACACTGCGTTGCTGGAAATCACATATTAGGTATAACCGAGAGGTGTAATTTGCACTCCCCCAGTTCATCGTCTCAAGCAAAGTGTGGCGAAGCTGCAGAGAGCCCGGGTTAGTGGTAACCTTCCTGCAGCTGGCTGGGTCTTCACAAATACTGTTGGCTCTTTATAACACTGGGAAACCCACACTAAAAGGAATGCCTGGTGTGTAAACACTCACAAACACAGTTTAGCTGAGAAACAACGCTGCATTAAGTCTCAGTGCCTCGGCTGTTTTTCCCTGGCACTTACTTAATGGACAACCTTCAGCCTCATGCTCTGAAAGAGAAGGAAACCCTTCCTGACTTCACCAGCTGCTCCTATCATCTTTCCCATGCCGATTCCCACTTCTGGACCACCTCCTCCTTTGCCTGCCGTTTCCAGGATCTTGGTCCATTTCAGCCAGACCGGTTTCAGTACCCATTTCAGTACAGACAGTCTCTGTTCCTGCATGTGAGGACAGATCCCCTTCAGCTGGGACGCCCTGGTGGCCCCACTAGCGAGGTGTGGCCCTTCACTGTCCCTGTTTGAGAGACAGCACCAGCTCGGAGACAAAGCCACCCGCTCCAGCACGCTGCTAGGCTCCCCTCTCCGAGAGGCAATGGGAACCAAATTTTCTGGTTCAGCTGAGCCATGCTCAGCCCTCAGCTAAGGTCACTGGGTACTGACAGGCATTGCCGGCAGCCTGATTTCAGGTCATTATAAATGTGTTCTGGTGACCCTAAGGTCTAAATCATTTGTTGGTACGGTAGCTAGTGCTCAGGGAGATGTTGGGGCTGTCCCTCTGCTTCCGTGCTGATGAAAGGTACCATATAAGTGTCCTATTTCTGTCATATTCTCAACATTGTAGATATCCTGAGGGAGATAGTTGTACTGGCTTGCATTTTCTTCAGCCCAGGACATTCTTACCCAGGTATATTTCAAAATTTTCCAAACAAATTTTCCTCCCCATCTTCCTCGCTTCCCCCTCCCCACAAGGAAGCACCTTATTCCACCTCATAAAAAATAAGCAAGCACAAAACACCTACTTAATATACGTATTGGCGTTTCCCTCTGGAAAGACATATGGATGTTTCTTCCGGAAGACGTGTCCAACGCGGCTGCAGGGGATGATTTCCAGGCTCCCTCCACACATCCACACACGGAAAGAGATTTCTGGAAGAGAAGCAGCTTCAGCATTTTGTCTTTCTGTCCTAGAGCAGGCTGGATCCTGGTGTTACCTCTCACTTCATCCTCTGCCACATTAAAGTGGGGTAAATCAATTACCAGAGGGGCTTTCCTAGGCACAACTCCCTTAAAAGCGCATTTCAAAGCTTCTTGCGATCTGTTTGAAGTCAATGCACTAGAAAACTGCCTGTAGCACAGCAAGTGGTATCACAACGGCAAAAGCAAGATGGTAAGTCAGTCCCTTTTCATGCAGCCCCGCTTACATTGCAGAATCTTCTTGCCAGTTCTGTGCTCCCCTAATTACTTCTGCACTGCCTATTTCAGAGTCACTTCCCTCCAAACGGCTATCAAGTTCACCAAGAGAGGCCATGAATTCTGTTTATTAATGACTGTAATGGTCGTTATCTTTATGAATCTACCACTGATTTTGCAAAGCGAACACAGAGCTGTGCATCCATCACCTGTCCCGAAATGGATAGGAGCTTATGCTGCCCAGCACTTACTCTGGGTCTTGAGTGCCAATGTTGTGACCCCACCAGGCACACACCTTCACACAAGTGAAGGTCAGTGGCAGGAGGGATGCTCAAAAAAATCTGGATAAGCTATCAGTAAACAAAATGTCTCCTGGTTTCCCCAAGCCACTCTGGCTGGTCCATGAAGCCCTTCTGGAGGAAAACGAGCTTGTGGCACAATTGACACCAGGAGTTACAGGGCTCTTGGCAGGGAGCTGGATGAAATCCGAGCTGGCGAGGTAGGATGGGTGAGCAGAAAGGCTGATCTAATGGGTCCATCTGGTCCTAACGGCTGTGAAGCTATGAATCTGCACCTATATTGTCAGACAGTCATGCTTAGACAGAACCAGCACGGAAAAGAGATGAAATTAAAAAGAAAAGGCTTCTACAGTTCTTTGCATCCCGTTTTAACATTTGTTGACAGTACAGAGCTACACATAACAAGTATTTACTCCAAAACTACAAATTCCTTTTCACACACCCCACCTTATTTAAGAAGCCAGACAGGAGGAGACCCATCATCTTTGCCAGCTCTTTCTCCCGGCAGTCCCCTCACACGCCAGCACAGGGATGACTCGTCCCCAGGTCGGACACTGGCAAAGTAAGCGCCTGGAAGGCCATTTGGGCAGTGTGGACAGCGGGCACTCCTCCTCCTCCAACAGCAGGCACTGCCGGCCTGCAAAGCTGCCATCCCTCCAAAATCAACTCACAGCTTCAGGGAGTGAAGGAGAATCGGAGCGTGGACCTCCAAAGCCACCTACCCTCAGCACGCGTGGCTCAGCCATAAGGTGCAGGTCACTGCAGAGGTGGGAGCTGGCTGCACGGCGCTCCCGTTCCCGCTCCCAGCATGCCTGCCTGCTCCTGAGCTGGTGGAAATGGGAGTCTGGCACAGCCGCAAAGCCCCTTCGCCTTGATGCTTGGGTCCAAACCTCAAGGCTTGAGCCCATCCCCAACAGCCGGCCCTGGCAGCAGGGGACAGCAAAGGCTGGGGTGGGAAAGCACAGCAGGGATGAGAAGCATTTTTTTCCAGAAATCCCCTCCTGTTCCCTTCACTGCTGTGTTTACAGGCAAGAGCTGCAACAGCAGCTGGAGCGTCACCACTTTCCCCAGCGCTGGGTATTAACAGGCCAATAAAACGTGCCCTTGTGCCGTGTCCTGGTGCTATATTGGGAGCAACCTTAATCACAGCTGCAGGGAAATGAGATTACGGCAGGATGCGGCCGCTCTAAGCTGCTGCGCTCAGTTCCCCTCGCACGTGGCTGTTGCTCTCATTTGCTTGTGTGTCACAGCTCTGGCCACACTGCCAGCGCTGCTGAGTAAATCAGAAGGGTGTCCAGTAAAGGGGGACAACTGGCTGAGCAGCTGTGAACTACAGCGTGGCTGCTGCGTCCTGCCTTCCCCTCCTCTGGTCCTTCTGCTCAGCCTGGGAGAAGAGCAGCTCTCTGAAGTGCTGAGGGAAAGACCTGCACCGTTCAGTCCTCACCTGCTCTTAAAGTCTAATGAAGATGTGGGCTGAGGTGATCTCTGTGCACTGCAAACTGGAATGAGAACACAGTGCTGGAAAGGCAGGGGATGGTGAGGAGTCCGAGCTCTGCTTCAGACATGTTGCACCCTGCAGACCCTGCTCCAGTCTCAGCAGAAGCAATTAAAGCACAGGTTTCTGCAGGTAGGGATGCCCCACGGAGCCATCCATGGCAGCTAACAAACAAGGTCTCCAGACAGGCAGCCAAGAGCTAAATGCCTCAGGAGGAGGTAAACTGAGGCACCAGGGAAGGTATGGCACGGGGCCAGCTCAGAGGAGCCAGGGGAGCAGGAACCGCCAGCGTGCTTCACCTGACCCTCAAGGGATGTCCCCAGTGCAGGTGGCCTCTCCAAGTGGCTCCCAGGAGAGATGCGAGCAGTGTTGGTGTGCACTGGGCTTCGCCTTAGCTTGGCAAAATACCTTTAGTGCTTCCTGCTGGTCTGCAAGTCCTTCTGCCACTACTCATCAATTCACCTACAGGGGTGAATGGCCTCAAGTTGCAACAGGGGAGGTTTAGATTGGATATCAGGAAATTTTTCTTTACTGAAAGAGCTGTGAAGCATTGGAACAGGCTGCCCAGGGAAGTGGTGGAGTCACCATCCCTGGAGGTGTTTAAAAAAAATGTAGATATGGCACTTCAGGACATTGTTTAGCAGGCATGATGGTGACGGGTTGACGGTTGGACTTCATGATCTTAGAGGTCTTTTCCAACCTTAATGGTTCTATGATTAAGCAAATCTAAGAAGTAGAACACCTACAATGTCCTCTTCCTAATCCAAATACACTTGCTTTTGTTTTGCCTGAAGTCTCCAGCTCCCTCTAGCTGCCCAGGCAACAACATTAAAGGCAGCAGTAACGCTCCCCAGAACCAGAGTCCTGCACCCCCTCAGGACTAAGCTACCAGAAAAAGCACGGTTCACTGCAAGCGCCCAAAATGAGGAGCTGCTCCGTCAGCTCCTGCCCTCAGTCACCTGCCCAGGTGTGACCAGGGCCAGTAGGGTCCCAGCTGCCCTTGCCTGTGTGCAAAGGAGAGGTGGGACATGCTGCCCTTGACTGCTGCGCCTGCAGAAGATGCAGCTTTGAGCCGGGCAAGCTTCTGCTCTCAGGGCGATGGGCAAGACAGGATCTGCCCTGCTGCTATGCAGACCTGCACTTCTTTGTTGCAGCATTAACCTGTCTGGCTTCCCTTTGCCAGGCCGATGCCCTGAGGCAGCGTTACAGCCTGCAGCACAGCCAGCGGCCGTTCGGTCAGGACCAGTAAGGGAAACACTGCAGTCTGTAGGACAGGCCACAACCACAGGTGAGGAACGCAACACCTGCCATTGCAGGGCATCAGACAAGCTGTGGGGACCACGCTTCCCCAAAGGGCAGGCTGCCCCATCACTGTCCATCTCCCAGGAGCAGCTCATGCTGGCTGCTGTCAGAGGAGAGCAGCAGAGATGGACAGCGGGTCAGGCGCAGGGCAGAAGTCCCTCTCCTCCTGTCTAGTCCCTTCTTAAATGCTTTGTTTGGGCTGCTGATTCATCAGGGGAGGTGGGAGGGCTGCTGCTCCCTCCTAGGTTTCCTCAGAGCCACCCCACTCAGAGGAGCAGACACTTTGGGTCAGATCGGTGGTAAGACACACACCCACAGAGAGAAAGCATGAGGGCAAGGGATCCTACTGCATAACAAGATATAAATAAATAAAATATGCTAGAGGAAAAAGGCATGTGAAGGAAACAACAGTGCCAGGCAGCGGATGGGTTATTGCAAGGCGGCAGCATCTGTTCCCTTGGATGACTGACAGCATCGCTGTATGTGTTAAGACACAAGAGCCTTCCTTCCTTGCTAGCCATACTCCCCAGAGGTGTAAGCTATTAAGGCCAGGTTCTGATCTGCCTCCCTGACATCAAGCGCCTCCTCCTCCTTTCACGGATACAGTCTATTGCTCTGATCTGCAGCATCGCTGCGGCTTCAAAGAGAGAACAGCCCAGCCTGATCCAGCTCCGTTTGACGTGGGCGACAAGGGACAGCCTGTTACCTCTTTCATGTGCCCTCTCAAGTTTGCATGCAGGAGATTTCTTAATGTCCGTCTTGCCCCGTGATAATGGGCACAGGTGACTGAATTTTGATCAGCTCTTTTAACACTTTTTTTTCCATACAGGAAAAATGGTAGTGTCAAGGAGAGCCTGGCAGCGCTCAGCCATTTAGCCATACAGGAATGGATAAGCAGCCATGTTGCTTTGCCATCTGCTTGCAGCAAGCCGATGGAGCCACTGTTTCAGGCACTCTGCAAACTCAGGGAGGCACTGATGTCTCAGTTCATAGCTTCAAAACGCTGCCGTCAGACAATGGAAGAAGACACGTCTTTGCTTTATTAGCAAGAAAATAAGATCAGGAAGGAACAGGAGGGTGCGTGTGGCGTTCTCTCCTCTGTTGGTAACACCAAAGCTGAAAACTTGGTGGTTTAGGGTATCTACCTATAGAAAATCAAAGCAGTGTGGAAGGCTGGGAGTCCCAAGTATCACCAGTTGCTCACTTCCCATCATTCATGGTTGTTGGATCCCTTACTCACCTAAGACTGTAACCTATAAAAGTAAGTGAGGGTAACCATGCAGAGAATTCAAAGCGAAGTCCAGACCGACCTTGTAGCCATCTGGCATGACTCAGGGAGAGAAGCCAACACAGCAAGGTGTAGGAGGAAGAAGAGTGACTCACCAAAGTTCTCCCCGCCCCAGATGTCCATGGCACTGTCGTACTTCCCCAGGTGGTTGAACCAAGATTTGTCGATCACAAACAGCCCCCCGGCAATGATGGGAGTCCTGCAGAATGGGTAAGGGAAGAGGGGACACACTCTCAAACACTGCTGCAGCCCCTGGATGCACAGAAGCAGCCCTTCCCTTTTCCTCCTCTTCCATCATCAGGACATTACCTATGTATCTCCTTCTCACCAAACAAGGACGACACACCTCAAAAAGCATCTGAGACTTTCTTTCAGCTGCTTTGGTATTTTTCTGTCAATCATAAATTGCCTGGCACTTAATGACTGGCTAACGCACCCGTCAGCACAACTCCTACAAGCCCAAAGTTCACAGCCCTGATTGTAGGCTTCAGCATCAAAAATGTACTTAGCGCTCAGGGGGTTATTCACTCAGACGGGCTTTTTGCCTGGAGCCAGCCTATTAACAGCACCATTCCGCTGGGAAGAGGAAGGCAGAGCCAATTCAGAAGGGCTTTTTAAAAGCCATCACTAGCTGTGTGATCTTTATTTCAAAACAGGGTTATTTTTCATTCTTTGGATTAGCTAAGAAAACTGCACAGAGAAGTCCATGGAGGAGGGGAAGGCAGACCCAGAAGATAGCTTGAGGAGACTCGCCATTTACTGGCACAAGTCCCATCTCCATTCAACTGCAGACAGTGCGGATGCCTTAGCACAGGCTGGGCAGGAGCTGGGTGACTGCTGCGCCCAGGCAAGTCTCCACTGTACCCTACATGGCGGGACAACCAGGAACACGAGCCTTCAGGCAGCCAGCGAGAGCTCCTGTTAACAGAATCCTAAGGAGAAACAGTGCTTTGCTCCCCTGCAAGCTTTCTGAGGCCCTGAGCTTCCCCCAACACTTGGTGTCCTCCATGCCACACACCCCAGCGCTTCATGGCTGGGGATGCAGACAGCAGCACTCGGCTTGCTGTCAGGAGAGATTTTCAGCAGAATAAGGGACTCCCTCCATCCCACAGCATGAGGACTGATGGCATCTCTCCCATCCAGTTTTGTTGTCTCTTGTGCACATCCTGAATTCCTGAGGAGCCTTCAGCGAGGTCCAGAAAAGTAGTGCTGATCTGGAAAGGCCGGACTAGACACCACATTTTATCAAACGGGCTGAGGACACTGCTAATTTTTAAGTGATAGCTGAACTGAGAGAGGCAGGAGTCTGGAGCACTGGGTTTTTCCCCTAACCATATTCAGCCTCCTTAGCACTACCAAAACACAAATAACCATAAATATACCCCTTCTACCTTTGTAGCACCTTCAGGCTTCAATGCTGGTAGGTGAAGCTGTACTTGAAAACCCAAGTGAGCCACGAGCTCGCCACAGGTATTAGTAGTTCAGAGCTGTCCTGGAAGGAATATCACACTGCTGTGGTGCATGGTGACACACATGAGGTCAGAGGAGACACCTGTCCTGCCCCACACTCCTCAAGTGCCTCATTCCCCCTCTCGACTTACTTAATGGGTTCGGTGGGATCAAGTCGTTTTGCTTTCTGCTCTGGGGTAAGCTGCTCCCATTTGAAATGCAGACTCCAGTCAAAACCTAAAACCAAAGTAGAGAAGTACCATGGAGAAATTAGAAATGGGTATAGACTGAAGGCAATGCAGGCTGCAGAAGCAGCGTTTGATGGATTATTTTCCCCACTTTCAAATTACTTAAGCCATGGAGACGCGGCTCTTGGGAGAAGAGTCAAATCACTAACACATTTTACTACTGCATATGAACAAGAAACAACATATTGCATTACAATTGCAAAGTCAAGCACTCCAAAGTCAGGAAAAGTCAGAATTAAAGCTGCTGCTGAAACCTCACTTTGTCCCCTTGTGCACACAGATACACGGTCTGATGGATATTGCGTGCTACAAATAGCACAAGCATACTAATAAGCGCCACAGTCGCATCTTCGATTTGCTGTGTAGACATTCCCCATCTCCTCTTGTCGGCCACCCAGCTTTCAGTGCTGCCAAGGGTGGCTTTACCATGACCCTTCTTTCCTGCTTGACCGCCTTATCCACTGTAGCAAACACCAATCCTCACGCCACGTTTACCTGTCCCTGAAATCGCCTGAAAACAGCCAGCGGGGAGCACTGAGCAGTGCTAATGTGCTTTTTGCAAGATAGCAGGAGCCAGCGGTGTGTTGCAGAGCCACCAGTTCCTTGGGCCAGTGCAGGTTCACAGCATAGGACAGGTCCCTACGGGGCATAAATGTGGCTTGGACTTACCTCCTCTGAGGTCTGAGGAAGCCGCCACGTAGGCAAAAGTGTCCAAGTTGATGATGTCAATAACGGGGCTGACCACTCGGGTGGGATCCTGGAAAGCAGAAGAAAGGGGACTCGTGACTTCAGATCACACTGCTCAGACCAGTCAAGAGATGCTCTAAACTCCTGGAGACAGCAGGTGGCTGGAAATTCTGGTGTCGTTCAGGTTTGTCAGGGACAAGTGCCCATCGCTTCTTCCTCCTCCTCAGCCATTGCATCAGTTCATCTGAGGAATTAATGGTAGCAGCACCAAGTGGCAGAGGTATTGCTGGGAGCCTGGGAAGGCAGGCACTGTCTCTCCTGGGAAAGAGAGCTGTGTGCTGCTGGGCCGCTGAGCTAGCATCCCTCACCAGCTTTGGCTTCACCGGCAGTCTCTCCCTCCGAAGGCTGTGGATGTACTCAGCGCTGAACTCGGCTGGAGGCAAAGCTCTGTCTGCCTTTTGTAAATTCACCAAATGTATTCCCTTTTTACCTCCCTTAAATACTTTTTACTGCATTTCAGAAGTCAGACTACAAACAGGCAGTTGAAACAATAGAGGAAAAACATAGACAGTCAAGCAGCTTAAATACAGGCATTTTTTAAATGTACAAACTAAGGGGATACAGTTAGAGTTTTGCCAAAGGTGTGAAAGGGTTAAAAAAAAAGACCTGAATTATTTTAAATAGTTGATGGTGATTCAATTAACATCTTGTTATGGGCAAAGAGATTATACAAACAGTTATGAACAAAAATATCTACAGGAGGAAGAGACTCTGACAGCTTTGACTGGTCTCTTATCTCCCTTTTTCTTTTCAAAAATCCCAAACTCCAATTATAGCTCAAACTTCAAGCTTTTACCCTGGCCAGATCAAATCGTTTTTCACAGCCATGTAAAGGAAAGCATCTGAGAACACACGGGCTTGCTCTCTTGCTCCAAAAAGACGCTGTTTTAGAAATCAGTCCTGACAAAAAGTATTCAAATGCAGCTGTAGGAAGAAGCAACCAAAGGCCATGAGCTGGGAGCTGGACTAGAGCTCAGGTTTCTCAAGTGAGCATGACAAATACTTGGTATTTCCATAATAACATCAAGTCAGGAGTCTTAACATGACTTTCTGCAAGTCAAACATTGCCCAGAAAGGGCAAGGTCTGCTGTACCTACTTCCTGCTTGGAGAAAGTCAAGTCACATACCAGATGGGGAAATTTGAGTCACATCCAAGCTCAAGGAGCCTTTCATACCCATCACAGCTTCTGCATAGTACCCCCAAAACTGCCACAGCTCAATATACCTGAGCATCCTTTGGTTGCCTGAGGGTAGGGGAAAAAACTTGCCTCTCAAGCATCTTACTGGTGAGCACTTCTAACTAGCCCACACTTGTCCCCAGTTTCAGTCTCACACCTATACTCATTGCACAGCACAACTTCTTGTAAGAAAATCCCCCTTTACCTCTTGGTTGAGCGTGCTACTGCAGAGTGCTAGCAGCCTTCAGCAGTGCAACCTTCTCCCTGCCTCACTTTTGCTGCCGTGTCATGGGGACATCTGTATTTACTCAGCTTTCAGGAAGGTCTCTCTGACCCTCAATAGAAAAGCACAGCATGTTTGAGAGCACAGTGCTGTTGCTATGATTTATTTTGGGTCGAGCACCAGATCTTATTATAGGCAGCTTCACCTTTCTGTGGTTATGATACCCTCTCATGCCAGGGCATGTTAATATTAACAATACCCAAATCTTCAATCCTCTTTCACTTGAAATTCTCAAAAACCTGCAAATGCATTTCTCAGACACATTTCTCAAATAAACCAAATTATGGAACTAAACCAACAGGAAAAAAATCCCTGAAAATGGCCCTGAAGACAATGGATATGTTTCTACCTAGGGAAAAAGACCTTGATTCCAGTTTGTCTCCCAGCCTCTACATCATGACTTTGTAATGGACAACAAAACAGGCCACAGTTGCTCCTCTGGCCCCACAGCAGTATCAGGCAAGGTGAGAGGGCCAGGCTGCCCCTCACCTGCTTCCCCCTACCCCAGGGGAGCACCAGACTGGGAGGGAATGCTGGAATTCAGGGGTCACCATCCACTGGTTCATCCCAGTGCCATTTGCAAATTCAGTTTTGGGGCGAGCTTGTTGAATCATGATGTAAAAAAGTCTTGGGCTGGATAATTACATTTTTAGAACAGTTATTCAGTCAAAATGCACCATTAATGCACTAGAGATATTTGTTCTGTAAGTAAAACACAGAGCCTGTGTGCCCACGTGCTGAACAGTCATACACTCACAAACACGCTGGTGCAAACCCCCCGCCATCGCTGCCACTCCCTGGGACATGCACCCTCCCAGGCACAGGTCTGAGACCCCCTAGGTCCCCTCTCTTCCCCCCTGCACCTCTTCACTTGCTCTTAGACTCCCTAGTCCTGCTGGTTTCCAAACCCATGTGTGGGGCACACGCTGCCCACACCCAAAAGGGAGTGTGGGTCTAGGGAGGGGGGGGCGATGCCATCGGCTGCTGGGACAGCTCGATATGGGGCTCAGGGGACACCTTCATGTGGGTGCACGGTGGCAGACACAGGCTCCGGCGTTCCCCACCATGGAAAGCTGCAGGGGTGGCTGCTCTAGCCAAGAAAAAAAGAAAAAGAGAAGCAGTGTGCAAGGTGGCTGGTGGTCGCGAGAGCACCGGGTGTGCTTCGAGGCAATCACCGCTTCTTTGCTTGAAAATTAAATCACATTAGCTCAAAGTAGACTGTTCCCAGGAGTAACACAGTAAGCAAATGCTCTTTCTAGGCGTCTGACCCTCACCCGAGTGATCGGCCAGGGAAGATGGCTGTTAGCACAGCCTGAAGGTGGCAGCAGTAACATTTCAGACACTTCATTGATCAATATTTTAACCCTGATGGAAAGGGGAGGGGGGGGTGCTGGGAAGAAGGAAACCGAGGACCCGTTGCCCTTACCCCGCAGCTTTTGCGAGCAGTTAAAAAGCAATCAAGCGAGACCCCGCTTTGTTTGCAAGTCCCTCAATCCTCTGCACAGAAAGCCTCCCTCGCTGCCTTCAGCTGGGCTGCAGCACGCTGGGCAAGACAAATGCAGCATGAGGAGAAGCACAAGCTTACCAACTGCCCTACTTCAGCCAGAGAAAGACCTAACCTAGGAAAGCAAGTGAAAACAAGTTCACAGAGGTGATCGGTGCATCTGGTGCTATATTCAGACCATGACGCAGTGAAACTCCTGTATCGATGCTGCACTTGGCATCCACAGTCACCTACCCCACAGGTACTGAATGTGGGGCACAGTCCCCGAGCTGTGTGGCAAAGCAGCTCTGCCTGCCCCTTCCTGCCACCACTGCTGCCCTTCTCCTGCCAAAACACCTCAAAAGCTCTGCCTGGGAAAGAGGCAATTGCTCTGGATATTCCTCGCTGAAATACATCAGGGTTTCAGCAGAGAATGAGGAATGCCTCCCTCAAAAAAGCTCAGAGAAACAACTGATACAGTAAAGTCTAGTGGTGAATCCCACCCGGAGGCAGGCCAGCTACGAGGCTCAAGTGGGGTTTCACAGCACACATTCTTGTAATTCCACCAGACCCGCGATCGATGATACGAAAAGGCCGTTTTCATTATGTTACCATTTATCAGCAGGGCTGTGGCCCAGTCTGCAAATTGAGGTTGGGGCCCCTCTGGTGCTGGCTGTGCTACAAGCACGAGCAGCACCGACTGCCCTTGCCCACAGTGGAGTGAGCTGACCCGGTGCTGCGTCCCCCTTCCCCCCGTCCCATCGCTGCTGTGCACAGGGGATGATGCACAGCCCAGCCAGCACAGCTATCACTCATTTACTAAGTAATAGAGTGAAACTTGTCAATGAACTCTGTAAAATCACATTCTCTAGGTTTTCAGTAAGATCTTTTCTTGCAAACCTTTGAGTGATCATTTAAGTGACCTAACGGCTCATTCGCGACACACGCATGGAGGCGTGCAGAGCAGGACACCCGGGATGAGGGGCACCACGAACACCAGCCGAGCAGGCTTCCCCATAACCCACTGCCTTGGCTTCCCCTTGCTCCTCAGCTGTCCCATTTCAACTGAAATCAGTAGTTTTAAAATTAATGAGTAATAAATACTAGCAACCAGAGGCATAGCAAGGGTGGGGCAACAAGGCACAGCAAAGGGAAAGGACCACACGTCCGCAATGGAGCTGAAGGCTTCGTCCCCCACGCCGGGCCAGCAGGTCACCAGCACAGAGCTCCCTCTGACTCGAGTGACAAGGCGCCAGGAGCCTCCGTGTGCACGTCTGTCGAGAGAGTCGCCGCCGGCGAAAGGCGAATGTCATTGTCTGCTCCGAAATCAGCAGAATTTAAATCCTATTAAATCAATTTATTAGCGCTTAATTTGCATGAAATTAAATTCGGCCCCTATTCAAGGAGCCGTCACTCCCTTAAATCATCAGCACTGAGAATTTTACATCAGCCTAATTAAAAACTCTGCTGGAGCACTGCCCACCTATTCCCCTTTCACCACTCAGCCTGTGCTTGCCAGTTAGAGCCCCACTGCCCTGTGAAGCACCTCCTCCCACTCTCCCAGTCACGGAGACAACCCCACCTGGCTGCTGGGTGGAGGAAGACCAGAAAAGAATGCTTTGCACCCCAAAAGCTCATCGCTTTCTCACTCGTATGCCTGCATGCAGATGGTTACAGTTGGGTGGTCATGCCCATTGAGAGGGAAGGGGAGGTGGACATCAGCAGCTCATCCCCTGAGGATGGCCCTGGTCTCAGGAGCACTCACCTCTTTGATCCTCTGCAGCAGAGGGAGCAGCCAGTCCTTATTCACCTCGCAGTGACTGTCGAGGAAGGTCAGGACTCCTGCTTGCGCCTCATCTGCCCCTCGGATTCGGGACCGGATCAGACCTGTTCAGGGACACACCACGTCAGCTGCCGCCCAGATGGCTGGGCAATGTCCCCAGGCTCCTCCAGCAGAGTCTCCTGCACTCTCACATCTCCTGGGTTGTGGCCCATCTAAATCCCATTCGGATAAAACACGGCTTGGGTTCACTGCCCCCTTCCCAGTGCTGCAAGGCATGCCAATCATTTCCCAAGGTCACCGAAGTAAACAAATGGCTTCACCGAGATTAATGATTTATGGCATTTATGCCAATCCTTAATTTGTGCAATTATTTCTGCTGTCACCTTCTGGGGCAAAACAGGACTCGAAATGTTTCCATAACTCCCCGCAAGTAATAACACTAACGTAGACCTAAGTCCGCAGGGAATAAGCCAAGGGAGTCGAGGGTGGGTTTTCTGTGGGAAACCACCTATTTATATAGGAATCAGCTGGCTTTGCAACACTCTGTCTGCCTATGGCCAATGCTGAACTGCAACATGAGAAAGAAGATAGCCCACTAGCAAACAGAAGGACACACACATTGCTCAAGGGGAGCAGAGCTTCTCGATGAAGGAGAAACAGCAGTAATACAAGAAGAGATAGAGGCAGATAAAGAGACACAAAAGGCTTTTGGGAGCAGCTGCGTCTGGTCCACACAGGAGGAGGTCGCTGACTTTCCTGTCAAAATTCCCTAGAGGAAAGGGGTCAAGGAACAGCCTCTGGGCAGGAGGGAGAGGGACAGGAGAACAAAGCCTGGAGCAATCCACCATTTGGCAAGGTTGCCTCCTGCAACACAGGTTGTCCCTGTATCTCTCTGTGCACCTTCTAAGATCTTGTGGGTAGGCACTGTCTGCTGTATCTACCCCAGCCCTCCCCAAATCTGGGCAGGTCCTGAGGGACACAGCTTCAGTGACCTACTAAGTGAGATAAGCCCTCTAGGATGGGTTCCCAAATCCTGACTGTTTTACAGAGCACGAATACCTGCAGGTCCATCCAGGGCTGGGGATGAGCATGTACATATGCCCATAACAGAGGGGAGAAGGGTGAGAAGGAGATGCAGACCTATGGAGACTTCCTCTACCCTCTTGACAACGCAGATATGTCTCTTAGCCCTGCAGAGGGTAATGCCACCCTCAAACCAGACCTGTGGAGCTGAAAACTTCTGCAGAAACAATCCTCAGACTAACCTTCTCTGCTCCTCCATCTCCCCAACCCGACACACACCTGGACTCACACCTTAATTTTCAGCATGAAAAAACTTACTTGTTTGTGTTTTCCTAATACTGCAAAGCAGGACTTGAAATTACCCATTCAGACTATGGGGAGCTGGAAAATGTCTCAAAAGGTGGCCAGCAGCAGCCCAGTAGGGCATACGTTCATTCTCCATATAGCCCTTCTAAATCTTTCAAATATAATAAATTAATTTTTTAAAAGAATTCCCACAGAAGCAGCAAGAGCAGATCTCTCTTTCATTAGAGCAAACATTTTTAAAAATAAGACCCGGGGCTTTGTTTTGCCTGTTCTAATTTTCTGGCTAATAAGCTACAGCTGAGCCTCATTGGATATCTTAATACTACCATCTTTTTCAGCAAAAAAAAGAGGGGGGGGAAATCCATTTCAATTCTCAGCTCTTTATCACATCTCCTTTTATCAGGGCCCCCAGTCCCCAAGAGCCACTGACCTCCCTCATCACCCACTCCACTGATGTCTCCCCCTGCTCCATCACTTTCACCCCTCCCAAAATCTGGCTTTACCACCTGGGTCCTGGACAGGCAGCTCTTACCTTCTCGCCGTTCGTTCCGCAAGCACTTCACCTTGGGGAGCTTGCCCAACAAGCGGCAGTCGTCAGCTTGGGAAACACAAAGGGAGGAGATGTCACCCTCAGCCCTCACGGTGGCACTGGCAGCAGAAATGGTCCTAGGGGGCACTGGGAGCAGGGAGAGGACCCTGTCCCGGACTGGCTGATGGCTTGTAAGGGGGATGGCACTGCTGGGCACAACAGTCTCAGCCCTTCTCTCATGCAGCGTAAATCAGGATTGGCACAGCAGCAGTTTTTGTAAAACTAGTGTAAACCCAGTGGATTTACACCAAAACCAGACGAATTATCGTACAAAGTCAGCATAGAAGAGCCATGGTTGGGGTCAGAGTCGGAGCTTTTGCACATTAATGCAAATCACTATTTTTGGTAGTTGTAAAGCGACACATAAGCCATTTGATGCATGTCTGCGTGGCAGGGCCGGACCATCCCGAGGTGACCTGTGAGCCCTCAGCAAGGAGAAAGTAACGGTCAGAGAGCCCTGTGGAGCAGCTGGGGGCTCCTCATGCCCGGGGAGCAGCTTCACGGTGCAGAGAGGCCCCACAGCCACCCGCACCTGAGCTAGGGAGGTCCTGCAATCCCATACGCAGTTGCTGCCATTGCTCTTGCCCTGGTGCTGCCTGCAGCCCCAGGATCCCTCCCCACCTGGATTTCTCCCAGTAAGAGCTGGGTCCAGAGGCAGGTGCATGCAGCATAGCCCCCTCTACCTCCACACACCCATGCCGTGACCTCCGCAACCCCTTCATGCCTCTCACTGCTCCACGTCGTCTTCTTCGGCACGAGGCAGGTGCACCCAGCATAGCCCCCTCTACCTCCACACACCCATGCCGTGACCTCCGCAACCCCTTCATGCCTCTCACTGCTCCACGTCGTCTTCTTCGGCACTATAAACGCACACGCGTGTGCCCCATCCCCTCCACCTGCCCCCTGTGCCTGCACACATCTCCGGGCGCTTTCATCCCCTCCAGCAATCTTTGCTGACAAGAGACATCTTGTACCCGTATCACTAACAAGTCAGGTACAGAGCTGCGCTGCTCTGTGCACACCAGGGGAGCTGAGGTGGCAGGGGCTGGCCACGGACCTGCGATGGAGATTTGCTGCGAAGAGCGGGAACCCGCGCACAGAGCAACTGCATCCCAGAGAATAAAAGACCAGCGGGCAGGGAGAGGTGAGAAATGAGACACAACTGGGAACAAGATAAAAGCACCAATTTCTTGGGGTGGGTTGCAGGGAGAAAACTGACCGTGTGTGTATAGCGTATTATGCAAATACATGTATTTTATGTAAATACATGCAGAATAGATGCCAGCAGGCTCAGACTATCACAGGAAAGAAGATGTAAGACAGCTGAGAAGCGCTGATTTCAAGTAGCTGAGGGGCTACTCTAAGTTACACAGGAAACAGGCTCCCCCCTGGTGCCCTGGGATGAGTTGAAACCCAGCCCTGCTCCTTCTCCCAAGCACATGCTACTGGGCACGCTGTGATAGGGGAGCTGCATCTCTACAAACTTATCTCCTTTCAGGAAGGCAAGCACTTTGTTTAGCCAAATATCTGGCATTTACTTCCTCCACCCTTCAAAACGCCTGCTCTGTTGTACACCAGGGCAGCTTGAGTCCTTGCCCCTGCTCCTTTTCTCCTTCGCAGCCACTTTGCTGGTCCCCAGGCTTGCCTGCCCTGCCCTCCGTGCACTGGAGTGGCCCCAAAGCTCTCCAAAATCACTGCAAACCCTTCCCCTGGCTTCAGCAACTCCCCAGCGAGGCATCGATACCAAGAAGCGGGTCTCGTGTGAAATCTGTCCCTAACGCTCACTGAGGCATTGCCTATATATAACATCCAAGAGAAAAGCATAGATCTATTTTTTTTAAAAGCTATCTGGCTTTGTTTTCACGTTTCCCAGTAAGTGGCTACTTTTCTCATCTCCTTGATATGTAAGTGCGATGGACCACGCAGCCTAGGTGTATTTTATCATCCTTTTTACGCCTGAGAGTTCTTTTGAGCGCTTACTCTCAGCACCTGGATCTTCCACTCGCCCATCTCACTGGGCAAGGTCCTTAGCTGGGGTAGTTCCCTGGGAGCCCCCAGGGCTCCAGCTATCAACTTCTGCTGAAGATCGGACCTATCGATTTCCCTTGAGTCACACTATTACTGGAAGAGAATGGCAGGAGGACATGGGCTGTCTGTGGTGTACAGCACTGTTTTCGGTGCATCTCAGAAATCGGCAACACATGCAGGAAATCCTCTTTACATTGGTGAAAAAGAGGGTGAAAAAAGAAATCAGTCAGGAGTTGCTGACCACCTACGTAAACGTATGCAGAACATATGCATACATTAGGAGGGTCAGACTATCATTATCCTGTGCAATTCCAGCGGTGTCAACCCAGGATTGCTCCTGGCTACAGCTGAAAGCCAGATCAAACATAACACAGTTGCGGCAGGATACAGCCAGGTAAGGACTGGATTCATGTCTATTAGGTATAAAAATTATTTGCCATGTGCTTTTCTTGTATTATTTTCATAAGAAGAGGTTTGATCATTTGAAATTTGAATTCTCCATGCAGCGATGCAAAGCTGGCACAACGTGGTTTGCTCTCCACACCTACAGAGCTTTATGTTCCCTTTCACTTTGACAAACTCTTCCCCCTTCTCTGCGTAAAACCCAGCCTCTCACAGTCTCTTTCGGTTTGGCCCCTCGCTTTTAAGATAAAAAGGGTCACTTACGATCATCACTGAAGTCATCCACAAAATCCATGACAGTGCTTGACCAACTCAACAGCCTGGCAAATGGTGTGGAAAAGCCTAGGAATTGATTCTTGCCAAAGCACAGAAGACCAGGCTTGGACTTCCAGAAAGGATATACGAGAGAAGACCCAGAAACCACCACCACCATCCCCCCAGTAACCTACAGCTCCTGGCTTTCAGCTCTCTGTAGCCTGATCTGAGAGCTGAGCACCTGGAAATCCTGGGAAATAGCTGAGATTCACCCTTTCCACCTTTGTGAGCAAAAGCAGAGCGGCACGTAAAGCCAGGAGAAACAGGCTTCTCAGCAACATGCGTATTGCACCAAGTTTCCCAACAGGGCTTACAGCTCTGCTGCCGTCACCCCACCACCTCTCGCGGGGCTAATGATATGGTGTCCGCAGACAGCAGGGCCAACACAGAGAAAATTACCCAGCTCAAACCCATCTTTACAGAGCTCACAGCCATGGCAGGACAACTCCTGTTTTTATCCGTGAGCTGATTGCGTTTCAGAGACTGCCAGGAGGATAAGAGCAGGGTTGGAGCCCGCCTATTTAATGAGAGCGAAAGGCTGGAGGATGTGGTTCACAGTTTCCTCCACGTGGACAGACACTGACAAACATGGCTGAAAGCTACAATCTTCCCTTAATTAAGCCACTAATGGTTTTATTATTATTATTATTAAAAAGTCTAGACCTGTTCTTCCCCTTTCTCGCATGACTCAGAGGTTGGCAGAATTACATGTGCTTAAAATCCTGCCCCAGCAAAGGGTCAAGGATAACTTCTTGAAGCAGAAACCCCCAGGCATCCCAAAAACCTAAGTGCTAGATTTGGACTTTGATAATGCCAGTTGGGTTGTAGGGGCTTTTCCAGCATTTAAACTTCTTTGCCTTCACCCTGAGCGTGGTTCCTTTTTCACACAGGATTGAAAATTCTCCCAGATATCACACCTGACTCTGCCTTCTGGTCTGGGTTAGAAAAAACCTTCAAACCTCCCGCTGACATAAGAGGACAGACACCCTGCAGGCAAACAACCTTGAAGCCCCCGATACCTCCAGATCCTTGCTGACAGGTTTCCCCGGTCTCTCAGGCTCCCAAAGCTCCAGCAAAAAGCATGGAAGTCTAGAAAACCACATTGCTGGCCCAGAGCCTAGCCAAGAGGGCTCTGAAGGGCAGGATCTCTGGGGGATCTGGCTCCTCAGGAGCCACCAGCCCAGCTGGCAGCAACCCAGAGGGGTCTCACGGTATCAGCCCCGATATCTGAGGACATTCAGCTGAAGGGCTGCATTTCTCTGATGAAACCTTCCTGATGAGAAACCGCAAGCCCATCCCACTCAGGAGGGCTTGGAGTACCTATGCCTGTTGCCAGGTGCCCGCTGCCTGCACTGGTGTACCCCCACCCCACCAGGTGCTGGAATTACAACCCTCCAGAGAGGAAGAGTTGAGCCAGATTTTTTTGGAAGAAGAACAGGATATCTCAAGGCAGTTGCTTGAAATGGATACTCCCTCCACGTTTTGTGTGGTTGTTTTGGTTTTTTTTTTCCCCCCAGCAGAAATCCTGAAAAAAAGGGGGTTTTATCTCAGACCAGAGTGAGTAAGGCTGGCACCTCCCTTGTGGAGCTCCTCAAAAATCACTTCCAAGAATTACTTTCCCTGGAAACACAATCCCTGCCTCCTCCAGTTTCAGGATCTTGGCAAAAGCCATGATTTTCCCCCCACTTCAGATGCTTTGCATGTTAAGGTTGGGGTGGGGAGGAAGAGAAAGCCTCTGTCCCCTAAGCAACAGTCACGGTGGGAGCCCTAACAGCCAGGAGTTGCTGTGGCCACCCCAGCATCACTAAGGCTTGCACCAAGCAGGGTTAGACAACACCGCCTCGCCAACGCCCACAGCCTGCACAAAGTATTAGAAAAAGTGGCTGAACGCCTCTCCTCCTGCTGGGGCACACAGAGCAATTTAGATGTGCTGTTCCCACCTGTCAAGTCTTTTTTAATTATTATTATTAATAGGTTTGTTATTTTTAAAAAATCCCCATATGCGAGAGCTGAGTTCAGCAAATTACCACAGCTGAGCATCAGTACAGAGACAGGAGAGCAATATCATGCTCAGTGGAATATTTAACAAGCGCTGATTGCCTGGAAACCTAACTTGGTGAAACCTGCAGGAAAGAAGCAAACTTGTAAAAAAGCCAGCAAAATAAATAACCCATCGAGAGTGGGAGGGAGGGAAGCAGCGGGCAACTTGAATATTCAAAGCCGGCCTCCGCCCAGCGTCCCCTATAGATTCAGCTGCCAGAAGTCCAATGCAGGGCTCAGCTCTACAGGAGAGCGGTCACAAAGGGGCTGTTCCCTTTTTTGCTAGCACCAGCAAGAATAATGTGATTGAAACTGCTGCACTGGGCAGCAGACTCAGACCTGGGCTCTAAGCGGTACTCAGTGCCTTGGAGGAATCCGCCCCCAGGGCACCCCTCATGGAAGAAAATCCAGCATGGACCATTTTCAAGGCCCTGGGGAGCTGTGCAGCCCAGTCTCAGCTCAGCTGGAGGCTCCCGCTGCTCCCAGGTCAAGCCATTTTCTGTCAACTGTGTGCCTCAGCTTGCTACCCCATAAATCGGGGATGGCGTCTCCCGAAATGCCAACGATGGCCATCTGTGGGATGCAGAGGGTTGCCCAGAGCAAGGGGGAAAGAGCCAGCATGCTGACTGATGAGGGAAGGACCACTCCAATGCTTGCCCAAGTTGTACAAACCATCGTCCTTCCACTGGGTTAATGACAGGTACCACCATGGGTAATGCAGCATCGCCCAGCACCAAAAGCATCCTCAACCTGCACCATCGCAGCCCTCTCCCATCATTCCCTTGTGGGACTTGGCCACCGTGAAACACTTTCCCAAATCCCAAGTGAACAAAGCCCTGCTGAGGGCGGTCCAAAGGCTGGGTCTGCCACAGCTCTAAGGGACCTGACGTCCACTGATTTCAGCAGGCTTTGAGCTCATTATTGCTCTCGCGAACCTGTGCACAGACACCTGCAAGCCCCAAAATCGCCGCTAAGCTACGGGCCACTTGGTACCGGCACAAAGAGATCTGCAGCAAAGGCTGCAACGCCGCGACCACAGTGCACTTCCCAATGCAGCGGAGAGCGAGCGCGCTGGCTTATCAGCAAAGCCAAATTCATGTCTGCAATGCATTTTCTACTTGGGTTCTATTAATCACACGGTAACACACCCATGCCACTGGAAACATAGGAGATTATAAACACCCCTCCTGCATTGCTCCTCAGGGAGGATGGGAAACAGAGGCACTGAATCCTGCACATTTTCAACGTTACATGGATTTTTTTTTTTAAGATAGACTATGAAAGCAATTTTAAAAATTCAAAGACAGCTTTTCTATTTCTTGTGCCTTTGCTCAGCTTTGATTTCTTTTTTATACGTTCTTTTCTGTGTTTATGTGTGTGCATGGCTTTTTTTCCTTTTATACGGTTAAAATCAGAAGATAATTAATATTACAGTGCTTTGAAGTCCCTCTGTTATTTATAGATTTTTTTCCCTGAAATCAAACAGAGGTAAATGTACTGCAGTGATGGGCATATCTGAACAAATCAAAACAGCTTTTAAGTTCTGTTGAGGCAGAGATCACAACACTTTGTCCCTTAAATCACTGAAAGACCTGTTACCATTGAAATGAAAATCCTGCATCTAGTCCAGAAAGCGCTTACACTTATTCAACCCAAGAAGACCAGATTCACTGCTGAAGTACCTTGAAAAGTTAATGCTGAAATTATCATTGTTTCAATGGATTTAGCAGACATTATGCAGATGTAACCATTGAGAACTTCAATTTGCATCATAAGGTCCTTCTTCTGTCCTTCTCAACAATTTGTTGGGACCCTTTTCCACCTACCCAGAGGTAAGCATTGGACCCAACAATTTTCTCGCCAAATGAATTCCAGTGCAAAAGTCACCCTGACATGTAATACATGTAAAATGTTTGCAGGAAGGAATTCCAACCTTCTGACCAACGGTCAGCATTTTTTTGGTCATCACCCAGAATACCAGTTGCTTTAGCAAGGTGACTGTTGACATTGATCCTCAGGAACTCATGAATCCATTAATGCTCTCCATGGCAACATATTGTGGACTTGTTAAGGGAAAAAAAACCAAAACAAAACCATCTTTGGGAGTATAATAATGTGTCAAAAGGGTCAAGGGTCACAATTATCGAAATCAGACCAAGACCGTGGAGAGAAAATGCCCGCCAAAATGAACTGCTTCAACAACTCAAAATGGCTAATTATGTAGGAAGAGAGACATCACACCAAGAATAACCATAATGAGCTTTGATTACACTGCGGCTTTCGCATTTTATTCTTTCAAATACCCACCAAGCTCTTTGAAATTCAAGAGTTCTCTTATGTTAACATCAAAAGGTAAAAGCGCATGGAGGGCTGTGTACTTAGTCACCGTGAGAGATGATTAGCAAATTAAGAAAAAAAAGTCTAGGATTTAAGCAAAAAGCAGAAAAAACCAAAAAGAAATAAAAAAATAGTCAGCACAAAGTGCTAATTATACAGTTTCTGCGCAACACCTGGCTTGTTTTTGCTTCTTTAATCAGGCTCGTTTCAGTTATGGCACAGACTCTATACGGTGCCGCTGCTGCCTAAGGAAGGAGGCGTGCGGCTTTGTTGTTTCTCTGCCTCATATGTGTCTGGATGCAGACAAGGTAGCGGCACGAGGGGAAAGTGTGAGGTGCTGGCTGTCCGGGACATCACTCCTCTTACTTGCAAGCATTAGAAAATGAAAGGCATGATCTAAATAATTGATGTGGTATTCACAGCACTTGCATCAGGACTTTTGCTAAAGGATGTGTTTTGGTTTGTCAGTGAGAGGTAAACAACTAACTTTCCTTATTCCTGTTCTGAGCTTCGCAGCTGCAAGTCTGAAGAATAAATAAAGAACACTCAGCAGATTAAACGGGATTTTCTCACCCTCTGCCTGGCAGGTTGCTGGCACGACAGCCTCCTACGCTCCTCTCCTGCCCAGCCTGCACCAGCACTGACTGGCTATCAAGCTCCCAAAACTGCCTTGCTGGAGAAAGTCACAGCATGACGGTGTCTGACTGTTGGGGAGCAGGGCATTACCCCAGGCTGTCTGCAGCTCTGCCTCCCCCAGCCCTGACTCCAGGGCAGGCAGCGTTTCTCTCCCCACCACTCCCAAGGATGCTCCCAGGGATGGGGCACACACCAAGTCTTGCTCCCCGTGGACCTTGGCAGGGGATGCCACACTGCATCGAGACCTAAAAGCACGACTACCCACCCAGTGGTGGCCGCACCTTGGCATGCGAGTGTGCCAATGCCTGCAGAGGAGGGATGGGAAGGAAAGAGGATGATATTCTCATAAGCAAGGCATGGAGCAAATCACCCTAACTACACGGGATTACATGATGGGGAGGCACTATTACCCATCACTGTCGAGAGTCCCAGCACCCAGCCCGGCCCCGGGTGATGAGGAGCACATCTTTGCCAGCCATGCTGTTCCTTCTCCTCCAGTGACCGCTGTGGCCTTAGGGGAATCCATAAGCCCTCACTCTGGAAGAGCTGAGCAGCTAGAGCTGAGAAATGAGCTTGATTCCTTTCCTAAATCCAGGCTTGCACAGGATGGAAAGAGAGGAAAGAATAGATCCGTATTGCTTATTCTCTCTTATGCTTCTGCCTTCCCTCCTTGGGTTTACTCACATGGTCCCATTCCTGTAATGCTGGACACTCTCACCATCTTTAATGCACTGAACAAGCCTTGGAGTTTGAAATACATTAAACCAAACTGCGTGGCAAAAGAAACTTGCCCAACGTCATTCAAAAAGTGAGTGGCTGAAACAACACCACAATGGTAGTTTCTTCACTGTCTGCACAGTAAAAAAAAAATAAAAAAAATCTCAAGAGCTACTTTGCTGTTCACCAGCTCCTCCTCTCCAGCCTCTCCTCCCCTCTTCTGTTTCCCTTTCTCATGACACCCATTCCCTACTACCTGGACACTTGTACATATTCACAAGCCTAGTTAGATAAGCATTTATAAATGCTGACTACATCATGTGCAGAGATTTGGGTATTCGATTAATTTAGCTTTTCTTTCCCCTCCCCCCCTTTTCTTCCAGCTGGCAAATGGTCAGAGAAGGGATCATGAAACTTTTGAATTAATTCATTATTCAACACAGTCCACTAGCTTTTCTCAGTAGCTCTGACAACGCAAATTCTTCATAAATGAACCATCCCAGATGCTCACAACATGATTTGCATGAGGGCTGCTGTGGAGGCCATGTGTTGGTGCTGCTGCTCCACAGGTCAGAGCACTCACATCCTCGCCAAAAGCCACATGCAACACACTGAGCCTGCAATACAGCTCTCAGCATTCGGTGAGTATTAAAGCTCTCAAGCACCTAGGAATAGTGCAGGAATAGCAAAATCCCTCCTGCTTATCATGTACATGGTCCCTTCTGCAACTGCTGATTTCATCCCCTGCTAGAGGGTGCCTTCACCAGCATATCCCTCTGTCACTTCTCCGTGTTTACATGGGGTCTTGTAGGAAGTGCTCCATTTGCGGGGACAGTGCCCCGTCACCCATGGCTTTGGATAAGCCAAGCAACGTCCCTGTTTCTTGCTCCTGCCACGATGTTTAACTGAGAACTTTCATTTTGCAATGGGGCTGGAAAATCCAACTTGTTGGAACTCGGAAAACCAGGTCTATAACCCAAAATCTTCCACTATCTTGTCCAAAGACAAATCACCCCTCAGTCTGTCCATCTGTCACCTGGGTTATACCAAGAGCACACTGTGGACATGTACTGGTGAGAACAGCGTAGAAGAGATACCCGTTTTACTCACCGCTGCACTCAAAGTGCTTGGAGACACTTGGTCACAGACTGCTCCAAAAGACACAAAGCAGTGTCAGGAGGACAGAGTTTGCTTTGACTGGCCATGGAAAACTATCCATGTTGTTACAGCCATCACGGGATGGAGTTATCTGGAAGATCTAATTAAACTAAGCATTTGCCAAACGAGGAGGGGGGGAAACAAAGCAGTCAGAAGGCACAGCAAATTAACCTACAGAGGCTGAAGAGGCATATGAGCTCTCAGCTGTGTCTAAAAACTGGCAGGGAGATGCCAATACATGCACAATCATGGCTGGAGTGGAGAAGAGCAGGAGCCACATCACCAGCACAACTTGCCACCAAGAGCTGGTACCCCTAGAGCCAACTGGATCAAAGCAAGCCTCTAAGTACTGCGTCCAGGAGGAAAACGGTGAACCCTGATGTCAGGAGGCCACCTCCAAACCATGAGAACCAGAAAAAGGAGGGTCAGCTCAGGAGAGCTCAAGATCTCAGCCCAGAGAGAGACAAGCGAGGTGGAAATCCAATGCTGCCATCTCAGTTCCTCACTGCCCAGGCTTGCTTCTGCACTGCAGCTCAGTGGGATGCTCCACGAGGCTCTAGCAGCATTTGGAGATCAGCCTACAAAAAAGAGGGCTCAGAAAGGGTCCCAGAGCTGGGGAAAATCTTCCCACAGACAAAACAAAAGCACTGGAATCACTGTGGCATCTGAGTGGGGAGGAGTAGTGTATGGGGGAAAAGCTGTGGTGGAAATCACACACAACCAGGTAAGCAAGGCAGTAAAGCCAACTAAGTCAAGAGAAGAAAAGATAAGGAACAAGGAAGGAAGTCTTTTTATAGCCAGAAATCAGAAACTTCAGAGGACAATATCCTAGAGGAAGAAGGAAAAATTCAAACTACCTGTATTTCTAACCTTGCCATCATTGCAATGAACAGTTCTATCATGAAGCCAGATATGGGAGATCCAGGCATAACAGCCATATCATGGGTCTCCTGTGACAACATCACTCATGATTGTACCTGCTAGGACGGTCAAGTGGTGAGTTATGGGGAGAAATGAGATTAAAGCCCATTACTGCACTTTACTTATTCTAAGCATCCTTTGTCTCAGGGGCTAGAGGACTTCACTTGGCTTTGCTTTGCCATCTCTGTTACAATGGGTTCTGGAGAATGATAAACCCATGCAAGGCACTGTAAAGATAAAAGGGAAGGTCCGGGACCAAGGAGCTGGTACACAGCACAAAGTGTCAGTGCTATGACGCCCAAAATCCACACACCCTAGAGAGAGAAAGCGGTGATAGATTATTAAGTGTGAAGCGAAGGAGATGGGATTGGGCATGAAACCATAAAGCAAAACAGGAATTCAATTTCAGGACTGTCAAACTCACTTGTGGCAATGGGCGCATTCACCTGAGGAAGGATGCTGTTTGCAGAAAAGAGCCCAGCGAAAATGTGACAGTGAACAAGGCACAGCTGAAGTCTCGCCCCAGCCAGTAACCCCAGTCTGACCAGTACTGATGATGGCAAGTGGTCCCTGGGGATGTTGGTTTAACTGACAAGGCTTGCAGCAGGGCGCAAACATTCACTATGTAGGCATGAAACACACCTGCAGAACACTTACTGCACAGAGCACAGCCAAGCTCACTGCAGAGGAACCCACCAGCTGAGACCTGGGGACAGACCTCTCAAATGTCACAAAATCTTCCTACAACAGGACTTGCAGATTCAAGGCACACACTGGGATTAAATGCTGATTTCAGAATCCTGTGATAAAAAGTGAAGCCTTTAGTCTATCCACTATAGGAAAACACAGCCAAGAAGAAACCGACAAATGAAGGAATGGCCACGTGCCCAGAGTGCTCCACCGCGTATCCAGAGGTGTACAGAAACTATCCTTGAAAATCTAGTCTGCACGCATACCATTAGGGCTTCTCAATTAGCAAGCCTTTCTGGCACTCTGTGGGGCACCGCAGAAGCTCAAACAGCAGTACTGGAGCAGACATCTGCAGAATAATAGCTGTCCCTAAACAACTGGGACAAAATACAGCTGAGCACTGATACCCAGCTGGATATAAAACCTCTTATCCCAGATGCTGTCTCATCTTCTGCAGCTCCCTCCCAAGAGTGCCCCGTGCTAGACCCTGAAAAGTGAGCACAGCTACTTACTTTCCTCAGCACCCCTCTGTAAAACCTACTTCTCGGAGACAAGCTTTCACGCTAATTTCTCCTGGTAATAATTTGAGACCATAGCTGGTAGGTCCCCTCCCTTTGCTGCAGCAAGTGCAAACAGATTCTGCCTTTATTCACAAAAACCTCTAGCCCGCTCACCCTTTTTTAAGAGTGTTTATCAATAGGAGTATTCCCAGCAGACTGGCAGCTCTTACCTCCGAATCGTTCTTAGCAGGGTCGACCTGGCCTCGTTGTGGAAGGTGATGATGACGCTGGTCGGCGGGAGGTCCTGGCGATAGCGCAAAGTCGTGCACCTGGGGAGGGGGGAACAGGAAAAGGCCCTTCAGGCGCTGGAATTCAAAGTGGGAGCTCACTTTCTTAACGCAGGCAGCAGAGTCCATCAGTAGATGGTCCTCCAGCCACTATTAAAAAAAACCAAACTACAAATAAGAGTTTTTCTGAGTGATTCCTTTCTGAAGGAGTCCAGAAACTGCCAAGTAAGTCACTGAGGATTAAAGCAGCAAAAAGAGCTTAACCGTCATTAATAGGAAGGGATGAGAAGGGAGGCACCCAGCTTGCAGGCCTTTTCTTTAGCCATTATTCCCAGCTGGCACACCTTCCTGGTGCCACCAGCCCGTGGGAAATTAAAGGCTCTCCCTTTTTTTATTAGTTAGGGCAATGCCACCTTCAGCAATAATACTCCTTGCTGATGTTACCACAATGGGATCAGAAAGGGGTCCTTCACACCAGAGGTAAGGCACGGGTGAGGTGCTTACAGAAGGCCAGCTGCAAGTCTTACGCTGCCTTGGTGGCATTGTGAGCTTCACGGGGCTTTTGGTGTCATTTCAGAAGTACTGGGTTATCATGATGAGGTTTTTTTCTTTCATCGTTTGAGGCAGGGGACTGAGCACTCTCGCACCCACCCAGCTGGTGGCACCGGCAGAGGTTAGAGCATCGCTGCAGCTCCAGCTCTGAGCCACCTCACTCCCACCTCCCGAGACAGCAATTTCCACCAGCCGGCTGCAAGGTAAGCCAAGTCCTGTTTCTAAATTGATTGTTTCCTTATTCATTCTACCTTAATGGCATCGCCTGACTACAGGGAAGATTGGGATTTAACACGTTCCAAGCCAGCCTGCAGAAGGTAAAAACCCACAACTGCAACCACAGGCCCTGCTGCCTCCTTCCCAGGAGGAAACATTGTAGACTCTGTAATTACTTTGACCTTTAGCTGATGAATTTTGTGGCTTTTCTAGACCCACGCCAACATATTCCCAGCTCAGGAAATCCAGATACACCTCTTACATCTGTGCTGCTCTTTCCAGGTCCCTGTCAGCCCGTGATGGCCTGCAGATGGCACACCAGTGGCAGGAGGGCACCCCGTGCCCAGCCTGAGGAGCTCCTCATCACAGCCATCATGCCCCTTCCCATCCACGCACCACCCGCCTGCTCTGGCATCACTGCCCACATGCTACCACTACTCTCCTTAAATGAAGCAGGAAAGAGAACTGAGCAACCACTCTTCCAACAAACCATCAGTTTGCTCCCCCAAAGCTCTAGACCACAGTACCTGCAAGGCAAAGTAAAAACAGATGGAAAAAATAAGGTGAGGGTGGGGAGGAGAAAGCAAGTAACAGTAGCCAAATGTTACTGTTTTAGGCTATCAGCACTGCATGTTGCACCTCAGAAATGCCAAAATGCTTGAGATAATTCTTTTTAATGAGGTTTTTCACCTTTTCATTTTGAAATGGCATTTCTGATTATTTACAAAGTGATCTAAATAAAAGGAAAAAAGAGCACGCAGGAGGTGAAATCATTCCAAAGACAAGCAAAAAAAAAAAAAAAGACATCTTGGGTGCGACAAAATAGTTCTAAACTCACACTAAATTGGTTACTGCCTCCTCTCATCAAAACCTTTCCAAAATCCGGCCTCAACTTGACCAAAGCAAATTTCTCATTACTATCCTGTTCCTTCAGCATGGTCACCAACCCCAAAATTCATTATTCAACCAATTCTAATTCTAGGTCCATCCTCAAAGGACGCTAAAGTTGCATGGCCACTCCACAGGCAGGAGAAAATTTAGTGACATTGCCCCGTGCAACAACACCCTCATTCACCAAAGTTACATGTCAGTGATGCTAAAAGGAGAGTGCTTCTGAATTACCAAACAGCACCAGGTCATACCCTGAGCTGCTCAGCTGGTCACTGTGGCCCTTTGCATCGTCCGGTAACAAACTTCAACTGAGCTTTCCTAACCTGATATGATGAGAAACAAGCTGCTGCTGCTGCTTGGTGACTGGTTTGTCGCACTCAGGCTCAGCTCTTGCTTACTTTGTGGAGCTGCAGGGACAGACTACGATGATTGCTCTCCCTGTGCTATTTATACACCATTATCTCCTAACTGTTCACAGATGCGTGTCCTTCCACCCACTCCCAGCATGGCATCGGGAGGGGTTCTGTGGAGCAAACAAGGGAAGCTATTTCTGGAAAAGAATGAAAGAAGGTGGAAAATACAAAGTCATCAATACTTTACTTATGTTATTACAGTAGTCAAGGAGCTAATAAATGAAGCCGCAGAGGCTGTACGCTGTATCACCCACCAGTGGGAGTGCCGGAGACACTGCACGCTGGCTGAGCCTGCCAGCGGTGCCATGAAGGCTCCTCGTGCATGACAACAATTTGTTTTTAAAACTCCAGATGTCTATGCACCAGATCAGCCTAACTAGATGACGTGCACATGGGAATCACTGAAATGTCACATACGAACACCTCCAGAGCTTGGTCACTGGTTCTGCGACTCACCCCTGACTTCTGTCTAATGAGGCTCATCAAGTCCCAGAGATGGGACCGATGACTGCACTGCCACCATAGAGCAGGCAGGGACCTGGCAGGGAGCTGGCAGCACCCCCAGCCTCACTTCATCTCTGTGACCAGCACCGCGAGTGGGGCTCACCACCCCAAAAAACAGCCTGAAAAGGGTTAGGCTAAACTGCTGCATCTGCCAGGGCTCCTCTGGGGTCCCTGTGTGGCCCTGACTCTGCCCTTGCCCAAGATTTTACCCTCGGGCCCTTCTTCCAGGAGCCCTCCCAAACTTTCCTCCTGTTGGTCCCTTATCTTTTTTTTCCCTTCCACCCCAGTGTAACCGCAGCTAAACATCCTGGCTCCCCAGAAGGCAGATTTCAGTTTAAGTTGTTGACTACAAGTGGTTTTTTGGCACTTGCTTGGGTAATAAAAACCACAGCTTGGAAAAGCATTAAATCCAGCATGTCCAGAATTATTTTGTGTGACAATTACATCTGGGGTAATTTCAATTTAATACCTCACTGCAAGTGAAAATTGCAGCACGCAGCCCTAAAATTGCTGTAACAATGAAAATAAACCCACTAAGAGCTGCCTGCGCTACCTCAGGCTGTCACTGGATAAATGTTTTCTGCTGCTTCTGGTATTTCATAGGTCACCCAATTGCCAACAAGACAAAAAACAAAGCAACACCCACAACATTTTCAGGAAACCAATGAAAGTTTGAGGGGTTTTTTTAGATTGTTCCCCCCCCAAAAAAAGTTAGAAAAAAAAAAGTAATAACTGCATTGCTTATATTTGCAGTGTGTTGAAACTCACTGGTCGAAATAACTTAAAGTTTCATGCTTTGAACCCTTGCAGCAGCACCGGGGAGCAATGTTAGCACAGCAAGTGCTAGCAGGAAAGCTGCCAGGCTGAACTGCCTGCAACACGGGCTGCTTCACCAGCTCACAGCATCTGGGGGGCCAAGAGAAGACAGAAGCTAGGCTGGCCTGCCCTAAAAACCCCAGAGAGAGCATCCAGCTGGAGAAACAATTATTATTTCCTCCTGCAAACCCAGATGTCAAACTTTCACTTGATATGAAGTTTGACTTCTCTGTTTTAAGGTTAGTTGCCATTCAATTTTGAAATAATTTCAGAATAAGAAGGTTATGAAAGGGGCATTCTAGCTGCAGACACCTTAGCAATCACCCTTGAAAAATCCCAGCCTGGACTGGTGGCTCACCGTACGTCCTTCAGGAGCAGCACATCTCATCTCCGTGTACCCAACATGCCACCAACAGTTCAGGAGTAAATTATAGCACACCCATTTGCAGCGACAGGGAGCAGACAGACAGAGCCCTGCACTTGTCCCAGGAACTGCAAAGCCCTCCCACAAAGTCCCAAACTTTGGACATTCCAGTGCTCCTCACCGGCCTCTGAAGTCCCTTACTCTGAAGACTTTTTTCTTGGGTTGCTTCGATCCTTGTGCTCCTGGTGAGTGTTGGGGTATCACTCCCTGGTGGCCTCTGCACACAGCTGCCCCTGCATCCCTAGAGGTCCTCCTGATAGGGCAACACACACCCATTTCCAGGGCATTTCAACCCTTTTCACAATTAGAATGGCAGACTTCACTCATAGTGCCCCTCAGCAAACCAAAGCCCACCTTGAAAACACTGCTACGCAGCACAATGGTAAAGACTAATGGTATGAACAGAGATGGACCATGTCCCTCAGCCCCTCCTGGTCCACTCCTGGGCTCATCCAGAGTGTGTTTTCTCCTTGACATCTGCCATCACGTGCCCACAGAGCTGCACCATGTCACCCACCTCTCATGCTCATCCTCTCCTGTGCCTTGTTAACTTCCTTCAAAAGATGATTACCCTCATCCCGCTCCCCCAGCTTCCCCTGCCAGGCTTCTGCTCACTCCTCTTTTCTGCTTTGATGGCCATCACTTGCCAACAGTTCTGCTTTGAATTTTTAACATTTTCCATGAAGTCCAAACTCTCCCTTAACACAGCTCACCACTTCCAAAACACTCTGCATATTTATGTTGAACAGCCAGCTGCATCAGACAGAGCTACACCACCTTTCAGCTCCCTCCTGGCTCCTCTCTTCTCCTTGGAAACACGTCTCGTCACCACACATCTAAACCAAGAGTATTTGGGTTTGTCTCCACACTGTGCATTCACAGGCCTCTTCCTCTCACATTGACCCAGAAGACAGAGACCTGCCATCAGAAACGGTATGGGTTCACACCACCACCGATGGACACACCTACAAGCACTTTTGGTTTCAGATGACATTCCTTCAGTCTAACTAGTTCTCCAAGCTTGATGGCTCTCTTGAGTGAAGACATGTGCAAGAGTCATGTCACAGCAGTGCAACTACCATAAGCTGCATGTTATAGAATTGGATGCTCCACCAGGAGCAGAGAAGAACTTGGTGGAGAAAGAAGAAAAACATAAAAAGTCCTTTCAGCTCACAGAAAAAGTGAACTAAATTACACAAATCTCCACAGCAACTTCGAGGAAGAGT